TCTTCAGGCCACGGCAACCGTGCCCGTCCGTACAGTTTTCTTGGCATCCGATTTTCTAAGAGATCTACCAGATTTCCAGTTCTTTTCTTTTGCCTCATCCATCTCCATCTGTTCTTGCCTACACTCTTTGCTGCAAAACGGCGTATTCCCTCTGCAAAAAAGTTCAATACCCCATTAGAATCACTCAACACTTGCCAATCTTCATGATTAAAGCACTGACAAAAGGATTGCAGGAAATAAACAAACAACCAACCTGTACATGAAAATATCCGAATTATGAAGCGACTTGCGGCAGAGGGAGCAGGCATCGAGATAGTGAGCCTCGTAGTTACCTGGGCACCCAGAGTAATAATAAGCCGACATGACTGCTATTGATTTACACCAAAAAAAAACAACGAGAATCCACTAGAAATGGCCGTAGGGTACGACTGCTAGCTGCTCAATTTGCAATTTGCAGAAGGTAGGAGAAGAACAGGAAGGGGGAGGACGAAGGAAGGAGTGCTAGGTGGGGGAGGAAAAGCCAATGCGAGCTTGGTAGCTGCATTTAAAGCAAAGAGACTTTGACTTGGGGTAATCAAGTACTCAACGTCCTATTCTACAAATCCTAAGCCCATTTACTCACATGCATTTTAATGACACGTGTTGGAATCTTACTAGAAATGTACGCGGGGGGCCCACTCTCTGAATCCAAGGGCGGTTAAAACCCACTGGCTGCTATGCAGTGTACGATGCCTGGTAGTTGAGACGCTATCTCCTACTTTCCCCCCAAAGTTTTTGCTTTTCTCTCACTCTTTTATGATTATAAATAAGAATAAACTGTGATGTGTTTTTTCTCCTTCATTTTCAGTTCAGCCCCCTTTGTGTTTGGGTATTTCTTGTTCATCCATTAATTTTTCATATTCTTTTAATGGCACCTTTGGTACAGGAAATAGCCAAAGTCATTCCCCCTTTAAACCTCTCTTATTTTTATTCTTTTGTTTGGTTGGTTTTTGAGGTGGGGAATAGCCAAAATCTTGATTTAGCCATTCCCTGCCTCCCTCATGTTAATGGCCATTCCATGACTATGGAATAGAGTCAAAAATTTATTGGATAAAAATATCCCTATTTATTGAAAATAATTACAACTTATAAATAGAAAAAAAATAAGAAAAAGTAAAAAGAAATTAAAATGGAAAAATATATTAATAATTTAATAATAAATTATTAATGTTTAAATTTTTAATGAAAATAAAAATTAAAAGATTAAAAAATACAAATACAAATAGAAGCAAAATAAAAAGAAATTGAAATAAAAAATCGTACTACTAATTTAATAATAAGTTATTAATATTTTAAAATTTTAATAAAAATAAAATTAAAAGATTAAAAAAGGAAAAATGTTATTAAATTATAATAATAAATAACTTTGTCTAGTTTACTAAATTATAATAAAGGGTAATTTTATCATTTTATCATTTATTTCTTAACTATTCCAAAACTATCCTTTTGAACCAAACATCAAAATGAGTTATAATAACAAATTATAGTTTATTCCATTCCATGAACTAAACAATATAATAACCATTTTATTCTATTAATTTCTTATTCAATTGTTGTAGAATAACTATTCTATTTAATCTATTTCATTTCATGAATCAAACGTGTCATTCGCTACTTAGATGTTCATTTGGATCCATTTCACTTAGACACTTGTTAGTGAGGCAAATATCTGTAAAATGCCCACTTTACTTGATAATAATAGTCTATTAGATTTGAAGATTTTGGACCTCACTCGTCAACAAGACGCGAGAACGACACAGAACTAAGCAAGTATAGATTAGGTTTATCATGTTTGATATCTTAGATTGATTAAATTCACTTAACGTGATACCTCTAACTTGTTTATTAATTGTGTCATAATTTTAATTCATATATAACAAATATTTAACTTGTCTATGATACCCATTTAAGTAGGTTATTAGTGTTTAAATGGATTATTTGTTTCATGATCATGATGTATCATTTAAATTTTAACATGTTACTATTACTCATGTTACATATATAAAGTATGTACGCATTTAGAATACTAACGTATTTAATTAATCATGTTATATTCATATATGTTAATGCTCTACTTAAACACGACACCATTATGACAAGGCAGCACAAATAGTCAAGTCTTGTGTAACAATTGTTTGGACTTTATGTGAGATGCTTTTGTCTTAATTGGAAACCGTTTAAAGTTTAATTAATTGGTGCTTAAGTTACCAAAGGAATATTGTTTAAAGTCACGCAATAGATTCTTCAATAAATCCCATATACTAATTACTGATATTAATTAATCATGGTTCAATGAACTCAAAACTGTGCCGCAATTAAAAACCATTGTTGGATTTCAAAGTTTGACTTAGTGTTGTTAATTACACTCCCTTTTTAACTCTTTGCAATTCATGTTGTATTTAAGTACCACGTGCTATAATCAATGGAAACATTGTAGCAAAGTATTGTCTTTATGTTGTCATTTACTGCCTGCCTTGAACATTCATGCATTGTGGTGCATAGATCATGTCACCCAAATTCTTTTACTAATTTAGTTCATTTGTTTTGCATACTGGTTTTGATCAAGCTTCAACCCTTTGATAATTAATTTCATCTAGATGCCTTCCTTGTTGTTGACTCATATTTTTTACATTAAAAATAGTTATTTTTTTATAAGTATTTAACATTATTACGATTGGTATCATTTTGCTTTGACTTACTTATCTTATAATTTTATAAGACAATTATAAATTTAAAATAATATGAATATTAAATATTTAATTTTTATCTCACTTTAATACACAGTCGATCTGAGATTTATAAATTTATTACATTTAAATTTTGAAATTTTTATGCTTCTCATAAATTATAACTAAATATTATTAGGATGGGTATAATTTTGAAATTTGGGATTTTTATGAATAAAAAGTGTTGGATAAATAAAAAAAAAGAAAATAAACGTGTCGTAATTAAAATTAATAAGAAAACTACAAAGATGCTTTCTTTCCCATACTTTCTTTGTAAAACAAAATTTCAAATGGACGGGATTCCAATGGGAAGACCACAAATTTTTTTTAAAAAAAATGAAGAATTCATGATAATCCTCTTTGTAAGTTTCCACATTGACATAACAGGTGCGATGGAACTATGTAAATCATTGGGGGGGTTCTTTTGTAATTATAGAAGAGAATGGGACAATAACCAGTAAAGAGAGAAAAAAGCCTTCATGATTTGATCTTCCCCTTTTTCCTTTTTTTAATATTATTGGAAAATTTTGTGGGCGCTTTCATGATTTCTCTGGAAGTGAGGACCACTTATTATCATTATTTGTTTTTTTGCTTTTTTTTTTTCCAACTAGGAGTTGAGTAGGGCGTAGGGCCCACAAACTTGGGTAGAAAAACCAATGAATTCGAACTTGGAGCTGAGTAGACGTGGGCCCCACCGATCCCCGATACAACCCAACAAAACCATGGTAGACAAAGGGGGGTCCCACCTGACGCACGATCCCGCTGGACCTTTTTCCTAGGTCCTTGTCTCCCGGGCCCACGGATGCTGCCCGTGTGCCCCGGGCAGCGCCTCCCAACGTCTAACCTTTTCCGTTTTTGGCCAGCGGGACACGTGCGTCCCGAATGGGTCACCCAGCGCAGCACCATAGAATTATTTGAACGTGCTACGTGGCAGCTATGTGGAAAAAGATTCTGAGTTATTGGAACGGTCACGATTTCCTATAATCCGCTGAGGCTCAAGCCACTGATTCGTGCCACGTTGGGCAGTGTCGACGGGGGAACTCAATTATTGTGGGCGTGGGGACCGCTGCCACATGCTTCTCCTCCCCCTCCCACGTCGGAGCACGAGCTCAGTCCAGCGCTTTAAAAATGAGTGTCGAGTTTTATGTGATCGGGTGTGTCCAATGTTACGTGAGCTTGTAAATTTGGAAAATAAGAAAAGAATTTGTATTTATTTTTGTTTATATTGTAGTTTTTCCTTTCAAGAACATTTTATAAACGTGTACACGAACGGGAGACAGGCATTAAAAATCAGTAAATATATTCACTTATTGTTTTAAATGGTTACATTTATCAAAGGAGAATAATTCTAACTATTTTTTATTATAAATATAAGAAATTATACAAGTGATTTTAATTTGATTATTAATTTATTATAATGTTAGAATGCGTATTCATTTTATCATGCATTGTTGATATATATATATATATATATATATATATGAATATTTTATGCATTAATGATGGTTCTAGGAGAGATCCATCTTAGGTTAGATTGTGATTCTCGTTCTTTTTTTAAAAGATACAGCAATTATTTATTTGCCACTTTCTATAGTTGAGGAGTATTTTCTGCCTTAATCAACTCGATAACAACTCAATAACGCACTAAAATGAGTCTTGCTTGAGTCATCACTCTTTGTCACATCATTTCTCACCAATCATTTTTTTTTTCTATAATAAAAAACAAGGGGTACTACTTTATAAAGCAATCTAAGTAGAGGCAAGTTGAGGGAATTTGTTTAATCTTCTAGTGGAATTGAAAATCACCCCTTTTCCTTTTTGGAGTGACAATGATACTGATTTATGAAATCTAAACGTTTTACAAGGCAAGGACTCTTTCAAGCTTTTGCTTGCGTGATTGCTGGACCACAGCAGGTTGCATGTCAAAACAATCTTGCTGCATCCTGTAATATCAATTCCATTCATTTCTCTGCACAGTGCTGAGCTGCAGTGGTCTTATGTCCATTTGCTTTGCTCCCTGGTGGTTTTATGCTACTAGTGGATTTGATTTTCTATCAAAATCAAAATCTCAAAAGTTTCCAATGCCCCATCAAAGTAAGATCCAGGAGTCTGCACGCAGGAAAAGTGCCCCGCGGCAAAACTAGCATTTCAATAACACTTCGCATCCATGTATCGATAAGAAGGGGAGGAAGGGGTCAATGATAACTTAAGGCAAGAATTGAACAAAAAGGGTGATTGAACAATTTAGCGTTTCTTAAGTTTTCCTCTTTCGGCAAACCAGGAAGAAAGCAATTGAAGATTATTTATATTGGTTCCCCGTTCAACACAGAAATTCAAGAACAACATGTTCAGAAAAATATCTGGTTCCATGAGATAAATCTAAGTGTCAATGAGGCTGGTTTAAGGATGAGAAAAAAGAGCAAATGACTAACCAAGGAACATATGACAAACAACACTAGCCAGTGAGAGCGGAGTTGAGAGCACTATGCACATCAATTCCAATTTGGGCTTCAGCTTTCTCCAAGTCAGTTGTGGCCGAGCTCAGCTTCTGGGTGAACTCTGCAATACCTTTCTGAACAAGACTTGCATCAATTTGATCAAGTGGAACAGCCTCAACAGCTATTATATCTGCCAAAGAGTTGGCATGGATAAAAGCAAAACCACTGCTAATGAAATACTTTGTCACTTCATTTCCTTCATGCACTGATAACACTCCAGGTTTCAATTCTGCAATTGTTGCTACATGTCCTGGAAGAACACCCATCTGTCCGGTTGTGGCTGGTACTATAACCATGTCAACCTGGAAACAGAGAAGTTAAGGAACCAGAATCCAGCCTATGCACAAAATGTAATCTATGATTTTAGCCATTATTATTATTTCCTTCGTCCACTTTACTTTTTTTGTTGTTCAAGTATCAGACTATACTTATGGCAACATTTAGACACCACAAAAAGTTGTATTTCTATTTCAATTCATATAGGCTTAATGCTTGTGGCACAACTCACCTTGCCCCCCACCCAGCTCACACCAAAAACATTGAAGAGTAAGACATACACAATTCAGCGTACCTCCCTCTAACTCTCTCTCCCATTCTTTCCATTTAGTTATCTCTCCGGTGATCCTGTAGGGCAGGGACAATATACTTCTGTATCATTACTTCATTTTATTCGCCATTGCTCAAACTTAGTAAAACAGCAACAAAAACTAGCGACCTAATCTCTTCTTCAAAAACTACTGACTTAGTTTATTCTTCATTACATGGTTGGGGGGCAGGGGGAGAAGAGAGACAAAAAAAATGTTTGGATGCCATATGCATGAACAGGTAGGATATATATAAACAAACTCTTTTAACAGAAGCTTTGCTTGAATCATCCAAGTTAAATAGAAGAGCTAGATAGGGTCAGGTTCAGTTTATGAAAAGATGAAGAGATCCCCTAAAGGACTTTGGTGTTGGAACCCTTTGGCTTTTGAGAGAAGTAAGGATGGAAATGATAAAAAATTTGAAATATAGAATTCCAATCACGGTAAGGATTGGCAAACTTGATCAAATATCAGCATTCTCACCATCCTTGAAGGAACAAAAATAAGTGATAGATTCACTGTTGGTTTGGTAGTTATAACTTGATCAAATATCAGCATTGTCACCATCCTGAAGGAACAAATATAAGTGATAAATTCAGGGTTGGTTTCGTAGTTAAGGTGCAATATTTTTGAATTGCACATCTCCACAAGATAAATCTATATTCATAAGGCTGAAAGTAAATAGTTTTTTCATATCGTTGTGTGTTAACTAGTCTCAACTCACCATCTTTGTGCAGCTTATGAGAAGTTCCATTCAATGGCCTAATATCACAGCAAGGCAAATGCTTTTCGAAATGAAATTAAAGAAAAACCATAACCTAATAACATAGCAAGCACTATCCCCCAACTAAATGGGGAGGAATATAAAGGAACTAAATCTGAATGGATAGGCCTTATCATAATAATATTGTACTAAAAACTGACAAAGCTTGTTCCTGTTGTCTGTGTATTACTTACCACTACCTGAATAAAAGCAAATCCAGCTTTCCATACACGAATGCACTGAACTTATGAGGGAATGTCAATACAGGTTTCACCAACAAAGGGGAAATGTACTTGGCAAGTGACAAAGCAAAGGCCAATCAAAGTACAATCCCTCACTCTCTTTTTGCCTCCTCAAGGACTTGAAAAATCTCATTATCAATGTAACTGCACTTCTTAATACGATTCCAAATGAAGACACAAATGAATATGCGTGACATCATTTTGACTCCTTGATCTTAAAGGAATAGTAGAAAACTAGCAGGGACAAGCAGGAGGCAACAGAAACCAAAAAGCTTTGCAAGAAATGTTTCTGCAGGACAAAGGAGACGCAGCTAAAAGATATTCTATAATCACTTTTGGGAAACCTTCAATATCTGTCAGCCAAGGCAATATGAAGAAGCCCCTAAAGTTACAAAGTTAGATAATACACTCAAAATTGCAGGCAAATACTGCAAATATGTTATCTTCAAGGGAATTAAATTTCAGTACACAATCTGTAACTCAACCTGAAGGTATGTCACATGGAATATATAGCCAATTAGAGACCCTTTCAGATTCCCACCATTGCAAACTGCTACAATAAGTAAGAGGCATTGCATTATTGCATTCTATGGAAAGAATTACTGACATAATTTCACCCAAAAAGATAAAAGGCTTGTCCTTTGGCTTGTTGCATATTCATATTATGGCATGAAGTATTTAACGTCGACATTGCTAACCCCAGGCAATAGCATTGTCAACAAATTGACAATGTCTAGAAATCAAAACGAAAAGAAAAAAAAACCCAAATGTTACCTCTTTAGTGGCCAACTCAGAAGCATAAGGAAGAACGAAATTGACAGTGAGCTTGGAAGGAATGGAGGAAGGAGTAGGAGGACGGGGCTGCATGAACGAAAGAGGGGTCTTGGGTGGGTCCATGTTCGGGATCACTTTCTTCCATGCCTCCACGAACGTGGCATCCGCAGTCTGAGCCGCGGGCAGATCAGTGGAGAAGGGTCGAGCCCTCGCTGCTAAAATGGGTCGGGCCAATAGCCCCGACGCTCTCCGCAACATTCTCGGAGACGTTTGGGGGTGGTCGCTCGGCTCTCGCAAGGTCGGAGACAGGGAGAGAGAGAGAATATCGGGGTAGGAGGGCGGGGCCTTTCACTGCCTTCCTTTTTGGTAGCTGTGTTTGTTAAAAATTGGAAGAGAAAACAAAGGGAGTCTGGAGATTGTCTTTGTTTTTTGGACTTATTAGAATTTGGGCTTTTCATTGGGCCTAAAGTGGTCCATTTGGGCTTCTTTTTGAGCTATATTTTTTATTAAAAATAAATATTTTAAAAATTATAAATATTTATTTTTAAACTTTTAAATTTATTAATTAATGACAAAATAACATTTTATTTATTGATAATGTATAAATTTTATAATTTAATATTACATTACATACAATTTCTTTAATACTGTAGTTCCAGTTGAAGTAATAATTCTTTTTCGACATTGACCCTAATTTTGAACCAATTTTTATCTTATATTCAATGTTGAAAAAATTGTTGATAAATATGATGTAAATAATCTATTTTAAACAATAAATAGCTCGAGAAAAAAAATGGATGAATTGCTATTATAATGTAAATAAATTTATAAAAAAAATTTATCAAGTAGGAAATGAAATGAAAGCCATGACAGGATGAAGAACATGAAGGATTACACAAAATTAAACTGATTTTTGAAGAAGGAAATATTTCATTGGAAAACATTAAAAAAAAAGAAAAGCAAAAAACTAGGTTGGGCTTTCCATATATTGACTTAATTGGGCCAAATAGGGGCCCGTTGGTAGAAAATGGGAAGATTGGGCTTTCCACATATTAATTCTATTGGGCCAAAACAAGGCCCGTTGGAGGAAATTGGGAATTCCAGAGTGAAAGCCCATCTATAAATAGCGGTTAACGAGCCATATTCTCTAGACACGCGCGTCGTCCGCTGCCATTAGGGTTTTGGCTGTGTAAACCTCTCGTCGTCTTTGTGTTATTGGGTAGCCTCTCTCACTCCACAACCATGGCAGAACAGGTTCAGATCTCTCTCTTTCTCTTAGCAATCAGATTCTAGCTCTGTTAAGCTTAATTAGGCATTTGCGAATGCTCCCACTTTGTTATTTATCTGTGTTGCTCTTGCTTTGACCTGATCTGACATTTCTTTTTACTTTGTATTGTAGACGGAGAAGGCTTTTTTGAAGCAGCCAAAGGTGTTCCTTAGGTAAACTCAATATTCTTCTTTCTGTTAATTTTTACTTCTTGTTCTGGAATAATTTTAATAAGTCATAGTATTCCTCCTTAGCTCTAAGAAATCTGGGAAAGGAAAGAGGCCTGGAAAGGGCGGGAATCGCTTCTGGAAAAGCATTGGGTTGAGCTTTAAGACACCCAGAGAGGCAATTGAAGGTTTGCTTTGCTATCGCCATTTGTCTCCTTGTTAAGACTACTTGCCTTCGTATTAGGATTAAACTCTTTCTGTAATGTAATTTGATTTTGCTACTTGATAGAGGTTTTAGCATTTGCATGCGTCCATGTGTTTGAATATTTGGAGTGGGAAATAATTGTTTTCTGCTAGAGTATCAATAATTAAACTGTATAGCCTTATTAAGTAGTCAGTTTGGTGATTTGGGAGCTACATTCTTTAGAATTTTACTAGTATATTTTTACATTGGAAACTGATTTAGTTACGGGGCATTTTTAGGATGTCTTCAAATAGAGCTATTTGTTTAGTATGCTTTTTTTTGTGGCATTTCTTTAGAAAGTGTGTTTTATGGATCAGATACTATTCCTAGGATAGGATGTGAAAACCATGTCTTAATAATCTCCCTGTGTCTTGGGTTAAGTTGGTTCTGGTGAGCTATCTTTTGCTTTAATCTATGGATGCCTTTGTCTGGAAATCAAACAATGCTCTTAAGAACATTCTTAAATTTTCACGTCTTGCTCTTTGCATTGTACAGCCATGAGGCTTTAGTATTTTTTTATGGTTATCCAGGTTTTACCATTGCTAGATATATTTTCCTGTTACCACTATTTCATTCTCTCTATGTTATGTTCCAGTTCACTGCCCATTTTACACATGGATTTGTTGAAACTTATATTGGAGGTTTTGCTTTTGCCCAGGAACATATATTGATAAGAAATGCCCATTTACTGGCACTGTATCTATCAGAGGCCGTATCCTTGCTGGCACTTGCCATAGTGCAAAAATGATGAGAACCATTATCGTTCGACGGAACTACCTCCACTATATCAAGAAATACCAAAGGCAAGATGTTTTTCATTTTATAGATTCATTAATCTTTGTCTTAATCTAATTTATTTTTTCATTTTCTGGACTTATTATATTGATTTATATTATTTGCAAAAGAATGTGATGTGCATTTATGAAACACTCTCATGCATGTTGTTCTGATTTGGTACCAATTCTTTTTCAGATATGAAAAGAGGCACTCTAACATCCCAGCTCATATATCCCCTTGCTTCCGTGTGAAAGAAGGAGATCATGTTATTATTGGGCAATGCAGGTTCGTAGTTTAATTGAGATTTACCATTCACTTATTGAATTGTCTCACTGTGCCCTGAAACCCCAGCAGCACCCCTCTTCCGTAAAGAAAATGTATGCTTGAGGAAAAGAGGAATGGCATGGAGATTATTACTAACCATATCAATTAATATTGCAGGCCTTTGTCGAAGACAGTGAGGTTCAATGTCTTAAAGGTCATTCCAGCTGGGTCTTCTGGAGGTGGGAAGAAGGCTTTTGCAGGCTTGTGAGAGATTTGCTTTTAAAATGGCGAAACAGCAGTACCAGTTTGAGATGTATTCACTATATGAACTTTGGTTGATTTCTTTCTTATGAAATTCTAGATTTTGCTTTAGCTCTCTGTTGATGGGAAACATAAAGTTGTTGGCCGGAAATCTCCATTTTTACAATTTTGAGAATCTATTTATATGTTACTTTGTCCAAATTATGTGTGGTGTTAATCCTTTTGAGTAGGAAATATCAATCTTATGTTAATCTTTGATTGCTTTTTCACAAGTTACAACATTGTTGGTCTATCCCGTCTGTCATTTATTGGGAAAAATGTATAATAGGCAGGTCTATGAATGCCTGGCGTCTCTGCTGGAGGCTAGGGCCTGGAGATAGAACCCACTATGCCATTGGTCTCCAATTTATGCAGTAATGGATCAGAGCTTAACATCAGTAAGCAATTGCTGCTCCAACAGGTGGCATGCTTTCTTTCTCCCCAATTCTTAATCAATGGCATTATTGTTTATTCGAGAGAACTTTGCTACTGACAGAAAAGGAGTGAGAATCTTACAAAGAGCCCAAAGATAAATTGACTTGTTTTCTTTTTCCTTTATTTCTTTGATCGGATACCCTCAAACTTTTAGCTCCTATGGAATTTGGTAACAAATAAGCAAAACGTCATACACGCGCACTGTTCAATAAAAAAAAATAAATCATATTACAAACATTAGTCTTACCTAAAATATTGGCGGTGACTCTGAAAAGGTAGTGGAAACCGTGAAATCCCTTTTCTCCTTCCCCAGCCATCTGGATTCTTGGTTGTGTTGATAGAGGGGAACTTCTACTTAATGTTAAATGATACTGTTTAAGATTCATTTAACCTGTTAAGTTAATGGGATTTTATAATAAGGGTATCATTTAAGATTTATTTAACCCCATTAGGTTAATCGAATTATCAGTGTAAATCGTTTGTTTATCATATTAATATGTATAATTTGATTCCTATAATCTGTTTAGTATCTTTAGGTCAGCGGAGGAATTGAGAAGACATAAAATTTAATGGTATAACTTTGCCGTGGAAGATGGGATACGTGGGATCCCACTCCTTAAACTAATCCATAAGGGTCCATTGATGAGCGGTGAGAAAGGAAAAGAAGCCGTCGTATTACTTTGTCCAGGTGTGAAGATTTCTTGAACATTTGGATAATCCAACTCACTAATTCTCATCTAAGATCGGTTGACTTGGATTCAAAGCGGATTAGATACGTGCTAACTTTGAGATTGACTCTTTCCAAAGTCATCTAAATCAAACAAAACCCATTAAAGGGAAAGCATATGGAACTTGGCCTCTTTGGAAAAAAATAAACTTAAATTAAATGTTTGATTTCCCCCTTGCCCCATCGCCATTTTTATATCATTCTTTGAAGACTAAATCGGCCTAATCTTCAGTCTTTGAACAGATAGTCAAAGTAACAAGGTTGAAGAAAGTACATAATGACAAGGAAATACGAATGTAAATGTAGTTATCTATGCAAGAAGAAAGGGATGTTTGTGTTGTAAAATGACAAGGATTAATGAACCTGATAAAGAGGTCCCTTGCCAGGGGAATGAATCCACCACTAGAAATTTCTCTGGGTTTTGTCTGATTTGCTTAAATAATTACAAGGTATTCCATCGAAAGCGTGTTTGACTGAAAGCTTAAATCTTTTAAAATTTTCTTTTCTGACCATCAACAGCAAGATGTTTCTGTGATTGTTCGATATCTTTGTCTTCATTTGATGCTTTACTTGGTGTTTCCTTTTACAATTTTAAATTATTGTGTCCAGTTTTATGTTATAAATGAAAATTTATAATCTTTGAATCCTAAATCACAAGCTCCAATATCAAAAATTTAACAAATATATGGTGTAAAATTATGAAAGAGAGACACTAAACTAAACAAAGGCAGAAGAAGATTTCTGTTTGGTGTTCCAGGGTAGAATAAATCCAAGGTTTCAGAGAATGGAAATGGCTATATATGTACACTAATGGACAAAGGAATAATCCTGTTGTTTGCCACCATACTCCTGGGAACATATCATTGGGGAAGTGAAAACCTGTGCAAATCCATTTTTAGGCCTATAACTATGGAACCGACATCCCGCAGAACCCACTGCATTAATTTTCATATCTGTTTGTTTTTTCACTCAATTGGTATCTGATCCTGGTTGTGCTTTGACATGTCTCCCAAGGGGCCATACGAGAATTTACTGAGAAAAATCAAAGAGAGTAAGAAAAGCTGTAAAATCAACACAAAGGGACCAAAAACATTAAGGATTCCAGGGGGGGACATGCCTAGAGTGCAATGGAAGCAAAGTGAGAGAGAGAGTGCCTTTTCTTTCTTTTATTTTTTTTCCCCTTTGAATAACCAAAAAATACCCACAATTTAACTCTCAGAGACTTAAATGAATTGCAGGGTTCGACCCAAAATTTTTAATGTTCTGATGGAAATACAGGGTGCTGTGCTGTCTATATGATGATCTCCATTGCCCCAATTGTACCTGTTGAATTCAATTCCACCGCTGTTTCTGGTCATAATTTCCTTCTTTTTCATAAAGAAGAAAAAAAAAAAAAAAGATGAAAATTCCTTCATCTTTCCTTATCTTGACTTTGGGGAATTTGGCCTAACCTTTCTGACTCGTCAATCACAAGTTTTTTCATGGTATGAAAACTTACTTGCTCTTTTCCTTTCATCTTAAGAAAAACACTAATAAGAAAGCTTGGGAAACTTGACTTACTGCAAGTTACAAGAAATTCCTAGACAATGTCTCGTCAAACACTTCAAAAATAATATATAAAATATTACAATTTCATATAAAACAGTAAATCTTAGATATTATACATCTTATTATATTAATCATTTAGACAGAAGATAATGATATTATGACATTTATATAGAGTTAATAGCGAGCAATAAAGAAACAAGAACACGAAAATTGGTTTATCTAACAAGCAAGAGCATGCAGACCATGCCAAAAGGCTGGGGGAATTTTGCAGAATATGACTAGCCAAGGCTGGTCCTGTTGAATCAAATGAATCCCCATGGTATGTGTAGGTGAGCTAAAATCAGCTTCACTGTTTGTATCTTGGTTAGACTTTTTAAGACTCGAATTTAGGTAAGCAAAAAGCCAAAAGAAATCTCTGGGAAAAGCTTGGTTTCCCGTACAATTGACCACATCTTTACCATCCCACCAACATTCCTTTCCCCTTTTCTCAGCCTGTACTAATCCAAAATTTCCCCTTAATTTTTTATACTAAACAAATTGGAACTACTGACCCAACAAACAATCCCTCTGCAAATGTTCTGTTTTTATGTTTAAATTATATAAATTGAAAAAAAACCTTAAACCCTAAACTCAAAAGGAATGCCATTCTTCTTGAAGCATGCCAAGAGTGTGCAGCAAGCAATGAAAAGCACACGCGAGAGAGGGATCGAAGGGAGTTTTATATTATATGGGAAGTAATGATAGAATTATGACAGGATTTGCCTTGTATTATTTTAGAATGATAGTGAGACAGCCATGCTTATTTATTATATTTGTTTTATAATAATGTTTTGGAATATAAATGGTCTGCCGCTGTTCTTGGTTTCCTCGTTTAAATCCATTTCTTTTTTGAATCTGCTGCCCTGTCTTTCTAGGTATCATAGCCATCCATTATTCCATCATCTTCCCATTGTTCTTCTCTTAGGGGTTCACAGAAAAATCCTTGAATAATTGTTTTATAATTTTAATCTTTTGATATGATAGACATTTTAGCAAATAATTTCTATTTTTTAAAGAAATTACAGTGGTTAAGTGAATATATATATATAAAAATTAGATTTTGAATTAAAGAAGTTTATTTTATTATTAAATTTATAAATTAACATCATTTGGAAACTTATTAACTGGGGTGGAGAGCATGCTTCGTTGTCTTAAAAAAGTCAACTAATTGAATAACACATAATAATAATAATGCAACTAATTTAACGGCTGAGATCACATGACTTGTTCTAAAATAAAACACTACCCAATATTTTATTATTTAACAAAAATTTTGTGACTTAATTTGGATAACATATATGCATTAATATAATATTATATTTATTAAAATTAAAATTGACTTATGGTTATTAGATTTCTTGATCTTATTGTTAAATAGATTCATTAATCCAAACCCAAAACTTCAAATAGAAGCAATTTTCCTCTAAGAGAAAAAAAAAAAGGGAAATGGAAGGTCCACTCGAAAACTACTCATCATGTAGTGAAGTCGACCTCCCATGTCCAAACACCATAGAAAGTTACATGATAACTATCCACACTGAATCCAAGACCAAAGATTAAATTAACCCCTTTTCCAACACAACAAACCAAAAAAAGGAAGAACAAGAAAAAAAAGAGAGGATAAATAGCAATATAACCCCTTGAATTGTACATATTTTTACAATCAGTTACAAATTTATGTGAAATTGATAATATTTTATTTTACCTAATTATATAATTTATAAAATTTTTATTTAATAAGTATGTCTATTTGGTTGAAAATACAAACTTGAAATAAAATATTATCAAAATTTACTCAATTTTCACTCAATTTCTATATTTTTATTGTACCTAATTATGTTTTTTTATTCATACTAAACTGAGTTTTTGTTTATTTTTTGATAATAACGGTTATTTTTTTATGTAAAATGTGCAATTTGACGAAACGTTTTAAATAGCAGAAAAAAATAAAGTTACCACAGTTTGTAGTTGCGATGGGAGACGGAGATGGGCCAGGTGGTTTGGTTGAAAGGCTCTTTAATGTGTTTGGTTCGTGTTGGTCCGGGTTTGAGCCTTGGGTGCGTCTGGGATCAGGACGACGCAGCTCGCTGCGTCTTTAAAATTCTGCGCCCGTCGACATTTACTACTTCTTAAATTGAATGACACGATTTAATGCTCTCCTCTCCATTCATTATAACCCCAACGACGCCATTTCTGCTCCCTCTCCTTCTCTCTCTCTCTCTCTCTGATCCGTCCGTACAACGCTGTTCATTGCACGTGACATGCACGTGATCCTCCTCCTCTGGCTCCACTCGCTTAAAAACTACATCCGTCTCTTTTGGTAATACTACTACAAGAGGAAAGAACATGGCGTCGATGGCTTCACCGCCACCGTTGGTACTGAGCGTTATGGGAGGAGCTGTCACCGCTGCGGAGAATAATAACACCGCTGAACGCTCGCATTCTTCGTCGTCGTCTTCTTCTTCGTCGTCGTCGATTGAGAATGTGAAGCCGAGTATAATAATTATAATTTTGATCCTGTCTATAACGGTGCTTGTTTCCGTCTCTCTTTGTCTACTCCTCCGCCACCTCAACCGCCGTTGCTTACGTCACCTCTCTCGTTCGACTACGTCGACTATCACCAGCGCCGCGGCAGCCTCCAGCCACCGTGTCAGTCCCGAAGAATCGCAGACTGCTTCGTTGCTTGATTCTCTTCCTGTTTTTACCTTCTCTTCCATTACTCGCCGCTCCAACAACGACTCGACGGTTTCCGGAGATTGCGCGGTTTGTTTGTCCAAATTTGAACCGCAGGATCAGCTCAGGCTTCTCCCTCTTTGTTGCCACGCGTTCCACGCTCATTGCATTGATACTTGGCTCGCTTCAAACCAAACTTGTCCTCTTTGCCGCTCTCCTCTCTTCGCTTCCGAGTCTGATCTCATGAAGGTTTTGCTTCAGTCTTCTAACTCAGCAGCTGCAATTGGAAGTGGCGGAAGCGATAGTTTCAGGCTCGAGATTGGCTCTATCAGTCGCCGTCAACCGGGCTCCGAATCCGGTGAACAGAGAAGGTCTTATTCCGTTGGCTCTTTCGATTATATCGTCGAGGAAGAATCAGAGGTGACTAGAATCCAAACTCACCGGAGAACCTTGTCCGATAAGGAAGATGTTGCAGCACCTGAGGCAGCTTCAGAAGCGAGCCTCGCCGCGGAGGTTGCTACTGGAAGGAGTTGGCTTAAGGAGTACGTGGATAGGCTTTCTTTTTCCTTATCATCTCGTGCTATGTCGTTTCGTAGCTCAGGAAGGTTCTTCACCGGGAGCAGTCGCCGAAGCGATATCTCCGGCGTCGCTGTAGATTACGACGTAGAAGCCAATCGCATCGGCGAGGAGATCAGCGAAATGTTTCGTTGGTTCTCAGGGGTATGAGCGTAAATACGAGGTTGACGTAGGGGCATTTCTTGCATTTTGGCCTTTTTGATTCGATTAGTTCACTCTAGTTTTTGCTTATTCCACTCTATTCCTGATGGATCGGACGACACACACATTAAAAGTTCAGAGGAAGAGTGGACACAGCAAAATTTTTGAGTGCAGGTGAAGCTATTTTTCTCTTTTTTTACCATTTTATCCGCTGTAGATCAAGTAGGGAAAAAAAAAAACAAGGCATTTATAATCCCCGGTTATTTTTTACTTTTAGTAGAGAATTTTATATACTGCGTTAAAATTGCCTTTAATGATCCGGCGGTTCACATGTGACCTTGAAAATCTTACGGGATTTATATAATGTAGCATAAATTTTTTTGACAGTATTTAGCACAGTTGATTTATAGCAAATGTGATTGATGGGATTTCGTGTCCTTACCATTAAATGTCTCACCCAACATTTAATACATAAAAAAAAGAAAAATAATCTGTAATATATTTAACTAAGTAGATTCTGATATTTTTTGTTGTGAATTTATATTTTTAATTTAATAAAAATATAAATTAAGTGAAAAAGTAAATTTAAAATCTATCTTCATCTTTTAATAATGTGAGATCCGTGATATAATATTTCTACTCTCTAAGATAAAAAGAGTAATATTTAATAAGATTTAATGCGTTAGTATCAGTGAGGTCAGATGCATTTATTATTTTAGATTTAGAGTTTATTTTGATGTTATAAGTATAACTACTTACTACTATAAGATTGGTTGCACCAAAAGCAATGGAGTCAATAGTATATACATTCATATTGATTAACAAGTTCACCTCAACTACTCAAATGATAATTCATGGGCATGCAATAACTAGCAAGTACCTGTTGGTTTTAATTGCTCCAACCAAAACGGTTTGTTCATGCCTTTAGGTGAGGAGAGTCGGATCTAGAAGCATAAACTTTTGTCCATCTCCTTGTTTAAATGGGAGTCATTGGCAGACAAAAGGGAATACTTGAAGCAGTAGCTTTTGTTGGTTAGTTTTGTTTCTTTTCTCTTCTTGGGATTTATTCTTTTTAGTTGAAATATAATTATTTCTATTTATATAATCCTATGATGGTTTGTCTTAAGCAAGACAAAAGGGCAACAAAACCAAACATCAAAGAAGATCAGATGGGCTCCCACTGTAACTGCTTTAAGGATTTGTGTCTATTTGTCTTGTTGGATTCTTTCATTATGCAATAGAACATAAGGTGATATTTTGCTTTCAGCTTTAACTATTTTTTTGTTGCTACTCAAAAACATTTTTGGTGGGTGCTTTAAGTAGTTTTGGTCGGATGTTTTGTTCAACTTAAATGAGCTGAATATAATTTGGGTTTAAAAATTTAAGTTCTTCTAGTAATGTTTCGTGATTTTACTGAATTTTGTTTTTATTAAGTTGAGGGCGTGGAATGAAGTTCCTAAGAGGTCCAACAGGCCCAACCCAGCCTAGTTGGGAGGGGTTTTGCAGCTCTATGTCCAGAAATGCTGAAGAGACAAATTAATCCTAGGACGTGCTTTAACAGGATCAGTTTTGGCAGCAAAAGACACCATAGACTAGTAATCCATAGTATAAGTACAGATCAAGATCCTTTAGCCAACTTTTGACCCTCAAAGGTTCTCTTGACAATTTAGTACTTTCTACAACACTTCTTCTATAGTGGCATCAAGATCGCTAATTAATGTCACAAGGAACCAGAGTTCCTCAAAGCAAACTAGGCTGTGGCAATATAGAAAAATTCATTCAGGATCTCAGGAAGTAGAAACATGCTAGAAAAGTGGGGGGAGGGGGGGAGTTTGGGATAATTGCACGCTGAAGGAAAATTTCCAGTTACAACATTTCCAGGCATTGTCTCATTAAGGGCTTAAGCAATTGATGATATGAATCAGATGTGGTTTAACAGCGGAATTAATAAACAACTCAAAGTAAGAATATGGTTCAAAAACACAGCACTTCTCTGTCCAGCATTGCAAGGAAAGGAACTTCCGCTATAGCACCCTTTCTTCTGCTTGATCCCTTGACCGCGATCTTCAAGAACAAAGGTAGAATTCGTCCGACCATTACTAAATAGAATACACCAAAAGAAGGGACCTTTATGGAACCCAACCAGGCCGACTCCCACCTCCGTATTCGATTTATTTTTCAGAAGAGATAAGCTCTTCTTGTCTTTAACAAGAACACGAGAGAAGGCTGGGGATGGCTCTGTATATTTGGATTGACAACCCACGATGTGGCCAGTAATAGTGCCGAAAGTGGGCAGCTCTACACCACAATTGGGAGCAAAAACTTCAGTGAAGTCATCATCTGGCGGTTTACAGTTTACAGCACTGTTGCCGCTGCAGTTCCCCTTGCATAGTTCAACATACTGGAGGGCCATGCACCCAAGACCAGGGCTGTCATTCAGTATTGGAAGTTTTTGAGCAGTTCTGTTCTGGTTAATGATCTCAACAAGATCATTTGCTGGGTTTCCTGATAAACAAGCAGCAAATACAACCTAGTTTCAGAAAATTTCAACATATCGAAGAAGAAGATCTTTTCCAATGAGTTGGTTATAAAAATAATTGCATAATAAATACATGGGGTTATGCTATTACACCATGTCTCTCACAATTCAACCATAATGGGCAAGTTTCATAATTAGGGACACAGAAGACCCTGCACACTAATGCCCAATGTAGCACATGGAATCACAGGAACCATGAAGCTCAGTATATTTAGCCACGCAAACAATGTACCAGAATCACTTAAAACGAAAGCAGCCTTGCATGCCTAAGAGCTGACAAATGTAACGTTACAAAGATGTGAGCAATCATGGTTCAAATTTCTCATCTTTAGCAATTCAATGGTGAATTTATTTGCCATTTCCTGTAAAGGACGGATGAGAGGGGTTATGAAATTTTAAAAGTGCGATGTAGATGGAAAGAAGGTGGAGATAGAAGTTAAATATCCTATGGACAGCACGGCAAGTGTGACTTGCTGGATCCAACAATTAATGTCAGAAACTAAAAGTTGAACTACCAAATGAACCACCCTAGTATCTCAATATAAGTAATGTGCTTCAATCTTTAAAACAGAGCTCTCTGATAAAATAAATGTGATGCATTAATTTCTTGTTCTATACAAAAAGAATGGAGATGAAGAGCAATATAGATTCTAGGGGGAAGTTGATGATAAATTTGCCTATTAATAATTTGGAATATAGGGGTGAAAAATGAAAGAAACTCGCATGGAAGGTAGCAGTCTAGTAGATCTTCTAAGATTTCAACGTGTCGGTGAACATAGGTGAAGAAAGCATTAAAACAGAATACATTCACAAGTTGCCCAAAGTTGCTGCTGCTATAGAAATGCACAACCTAGAGATATTCCGACTCAAATCAACGCATTAGAAGGAGAGAAAAAGGATGTCTATGATCTTGTCACCTCCTAGTCTAACTCTTGCTTGTTGTCTCTTGTGCTTCTTGAAACTTTGACAATAATATGCTGACAATATCTCGATCCAAGTACCCAAATTTAGCTACCATATTATTGAATTAAGGTGTTTTGGCCCAAGAATTGACAAAGCAACATATTTAACTCGGCCATTTTCTCTAAAACAGAACATTTTTGCAATAGACACGGGTTTTTCTACTGACAATGGAACCCATTGCGAAAAGATTGGTACACTCTGAACTGCTTAAAATGTGCAAGTCCAGGCTTAAGCAACTACTAAAAAACGTCTTGTCCCAAGCAATCCGGACAACTAGATAAAAGCACAAAGCCTAGTCCCCCTCAAGCTTTGCTCATGAAATTTGAGACAAGTTGTCATTGAACCTACATGGGCAATGATTCAGGTGCTTGGTGGCATCATCCAGAGAAGAGATTGTCAGGATATATGACACTTCCATTCCAGCTAAAATGGTTCCCATATTATCTTCAGGTCTAAAACTATATCCAGTAACTGTAATTGTCTCAATCAAGTGTAAGCTTTTCCAGTCCTAGGTACTTAATTAGTAAGCGATTTAGTCTGTCTATCTGAGATTCCAACTAAACAGAGCATACCCTTCATTTTCTCGAACCCATCCGCCAACAAGAAAAGCTGTAAAACCACTTTCTATGTCCTACCACCTTTTCAAAAACCTTTTGCAAGTTCTTATGGTGCATTTCCCATAGAAGCAGTAATCCGACAAAGAACGAGGTTTAATGTGAAGTGTTTAGTACCCAATAGTTCAATCAAAAACATAAACCGAAAACCAAGTAGTAGATGGCGTAATAATAACAGCTAAACTCCAAAACGGAAATGCAGAGAGCATCTTACCATGGTGCTTGGAACAAACAACAGTTGCCAGAAGTAGATGACACAGTAGAATCAACTCACAGAAACAGAGCTTCTTCATCACCATTGTCACCAACACTTGTTATGTACGTCTAGACCCCAGATGAGCCTTTCTTTGCAAATATTAAAAGCGCCTAAAAACAGGAAAAAAAGGAGAGAAGAGAAACCCTAGTTCCAGATTAAAAAGAAAAGGGTCTACTCCTGTCGCCAACTTAGCTAAGTGAGAAGTGAGCCGAGCGTGATTGGTTAACGGGGACTGAAACAATTTTCCGGGAAAAAGTAGGGGGTAAAGTGCTTTGATGTTGCAGATATTAAGGACAACTGATGGCAATGGTGGTCCCAAGTAGCCGTTGATTTAAATGTACAAATGCAAAGAAAATATATATAAGCAGATTTTGGCTGATTATAGAATTTCAAAAGCGTGAGAATTAGGAGGGACCCACCATGGTCGTGAAAACTGAAAAGATAATTAAAATGGAAGGTGCCTCTTTTGGTCTGATTCTGATATTTTTCTTTTGAATTTAATGGATTGTTCTTTCCTATCGAATGCATGACATTTTGGATAAAATATATAAAAATTAACATTCATAATGTTTAAAACAATTTATTAATTATTTAAAAAAATTTAAATTTTTTATTTTTTAGTACATTTAATTAAATTTTATTAATTTTATTTTAAATTAAATAAATTTTATGATTAATTATTATTAATTAAAATATTAATTATCATTTTATGTTGATGTGATTATGTCATATTATCATTTATTATGACATGTTAATATGTTACACTAGAACCATGTAGTATAAAAAGATAAATAATATTTTAATTAAGTCATTCATTAATCATAAAAATTTATTTAATTTAAAATAACAAATATAAGTGTTCATTTAGTTTGAATTATTTATTTGAAATGAAAGTAAAATGTTTTGATTGAACAAAATCAAAAAGTAAAAATCCATTTTAAATAGTTTAAGAATGTTTTTAAATATTATATCAATTTAATATTTATTTTAATTTTGTTGAAAATAAAAATAATTAAAAACAGAGAAAATAGAAAATAGATCTTATGTATTGTTGGCAATATAATTCTTGTCTTGCAAAGTCCTATTAATATAAAAAAACATTTTTTTCATAACAAGAAAAAAAATAAAGCTTAGAATTTATTAAAAAATCTTTAAATTATTTTTTAAAAAATAAAAAAATTATTTTTTATTACAGTCAATCAAATTTTTATATTTTTATTTTAAAATAAATAAATTTTTATAATTAATAATAAATTAATTACTATTTGTCAAAATACACGAATTATTTTTATACCATATGATATTGATATAGTATATCGACATGTAATAATGATATGTCATAATAACATAATCATGTAAACTTTTTACTGTTATATTAATATTACATCACTTCACATGAATATAAAATGATCAGTAATAATTAGTCCATTGTTAATAATAAAAATTTATTTGATTTTAAAAAAATACAAGTGATAAAATGATAATAAAAAAATAAAAATTTAAAGATTTTTTCAAGTATTATACTAAATTTTTTATATTGATAATTGCATGTAAAATCATTATTAAATTGGGAGGTAGAAAATAAAAATACCTTTAAATACAAATGTTGAGGTAAATAATAATTTGTAAGAAATTAAAAACTGTATAAAAATTAAAAAAATCAAAAGAAAAAAGTTATTTTATTTTATTTCTGTTTGTCCAAAGAAAAAAAAAAGACACGTAGGTCTATAAAGCCCAGAGAAGTAAACGAGGGCTTTCGTTTCCCTTGTTTTTGCGAAACGCTTCCTTAGCTTACTCTGCCCCTAGCTTGCTTCTTATCCATGGCGTCTACATTTCTCGCAGTACCCAAAATGTTCACTCTAAACAAGCCAACCCTCCCATCCCTCTCCAACCACAAATTTCTGGGTTAGTTAGCGTTTGTTGCCTCTTTTGTTTTGTGCAAGAATACCTGCTTTTGTATTCTTTACTTAGTTTCTAATCTGTTTCTCTCCATGATTTTGGGTGCCGAGCAGGGTCTCGAAGAAACTCTCTTAGAATCAATGTAGTTGCCATTAAATGGGAACCCACCAAGGTATTATTCGTTTAGTTTCTTAATTCGAGTTCAGATAGAGACAATTTATGTATTTATGAAGGGATGTTCTTTTTTGATGTTCATTGGTATGCTAAATGTACATTTGGTTTTCCAGGTTGTTCCACAAGCTGACAGAGTTCTTATCCGTCTCCAAGAGTTACCCGAGGTTTGCTTACTCTGACGATTTTTGTTGCAATTGCTTATTCTATCTAAGCTGGTTTTGAAGTGGGTTTCCCTTTCATAGTGTATCTAGCTAGATTATGTGTTTCTTTGGTGCCAATCTTGTTTCCTAGAAGTATAAATTAAGCTACTGTGGTTAGCACTTGTTCGGTTTCTAGCTTTCTGATTTTTAAGAAATGAGAATGGCAAAAGTTGGATGATTGTTTGTGATGGTGGGGATTGGATAAGGAAAGGGAATTATGATATTGGTGGATGAATGCTTGTTACTTGGCTGTCATGTATAAATTTGCAAATAATTTGGCCTCCCAAGCGGAGTATCTACTTTCTGTTAATCTTCTGTGATAGAATTTCTTCTTTCCTTTGTTGTAAATTATCTCGCTAATGAATTGCCCATTTGATACCACAGAAATCAGCTGGTGGAGTCTTGTTACCCAAATCAGCTGTCAAGTTTGAGAGGTACCTGATGGGGGAGGTATGATAAGAATTCTTATGCATTTTCCCCCCATTTTAAAAGAATTTTTGGGATTTCTTATGTTAATCCTATTATTTCTGTATCAGATAGTTTCTGTTGGTACTGAAGTTGGAAAAGTGGAGCCTGGAAAGAAGGTAATACACACACACACACACACACACTGCCCCACTGCAATTTCAATTTTTGAGCAATTCATTTATTCTCATGCTAAGTGCTATGTTGTTGCAGGTTCTTTTTTCTGACATAAATGCTTACGAGGTTAGTAGCATTTCTTTCTTTTTTTTTCTTCTTTCTGGTGAAAAAGATCTTTTTGTGTTACTTCTTAGGTCATATTGTTACTTTATTTTTGAGTGGACAAAGAAAGGGGATGGAGAATAGGGTATCTAGGAAAGAGGTTCTAGCAAGTTGTGCACCTATTTCAATCCAAGGTCATGCCTTTATTTTGCTTGAACTATTGCCCAACGCTCTGTCAAACTGACGTCAGGGCGAGACTTATGTTGGTTTTATCTCTATTAATGAGGGGATCAATTCTCCTCACATGGTTTCGTGTGATGAGACTGCAAACTGTTCTGTGCACCCAAAAGTTAACTCATTAAAATTGTATTAAGAATGTTAGACCTCAATGTTTTCAGTTTATGGGTCATTCAATTTGTTCACTTTGAGAGGATAAGAAGTTTTGGAGTGGCCATACGAGTATTGTTGTTAGGTTTGAGGTTAGGGTTGTTAGAATATGCACGGCATTACCGACTGGTGGGACTCGGGACTTATACGTTGTGATTTAGTCCAGAGGCATTTCTTCCAGCTTCCAACAATTTCCCTGGCCTTACCATTCTTGCTTGTGAAAATAAATACTTATTCTGCTAGGACTGTTAAACTCTCTCTCTCTCTCTCAATGACCAACTTATAACGTGATGGTAACTGGTATAATGATGAATGTTTTTAGGCACGAAATCTGATTCATCCGTAGCATTTATATCATGTCATCCATGGTTGTATGTTATCAGTGCAAAAAAATGTTTTATTTGCCTTAATTAACATAATGGGTTGCTATCTCTTGCTTGCAGATTGATTTGGGGACGGATAATAGGCATGTCTTCTGTAAAGAGAGTGACTTGTTAGCTGACGTCGAGTGAAGTTTCTGCACTTTGATCTACATGAAGAGAGTCCTCTTTGATGGCGGCATTTATGGAGTTAACTCTGCCTAGTGCCAAACTTCAGATGTGTTTCAAAGTTGAACGTTTCTTGTTGCTCTTTGTTTCCTGCTCTTAGCACATTTATGTCATTAACTTTACTGGAGAGGATAGTAATTCACGAATTTTCTTTTAATTGAATTCAATGTTGGATGATCATCGACTTCTTCCAACTAAATTGTTTTGTGGCTAAGATCGATAGGAGCCCAAACCAACAGCTTAAAGACAGCACATGCATGCACAAATGTGCATACACATATATATTCACGTATACACACATTATACATGTATGCACATAATAGGTGAATGCAATAAAATGAAGAGAATAAAGTATGTTGTAGGTGAATTTGCATGTTAAAAAAGCATTAAATTAATAAATGAACCCTCAAGGCTACAATTCAAACCTATTATAGTTTTCAATAATGTTACCCTCTATGATTACAAGCTAGAATTCAAAAAGGCGCAATTCTATCATCCCCTCCTTTCTCTTTGGAGAATACCAAGCAACAACTTTCCCCGAATACAGAAGCCTCAAGGAGTAGCTCAGGCTGTATATGAGATCCTCAATGTGAGGGCCTGGCTCCCCTGATTTCGAATCCAGCAAGAACTTTGAATCTACTCGAACGACAATTGGCCCTGCAACCTGCATGGCAGAATAAGAAACTTGAATCAGAGCTGATTCAATGATCGCTCAATTGCACTCCTCCTATCACATTTTAGGGGTCCATTTGAAAATGCACTTTCAAAGAGTCAGTTGACAGGAAAGAAGTTCATTTGTTGCCTCCTGTTCTAAAGAACTCTAATCAAGAACTCCATAGAGAATGCAGGAGATGATAGTGAATTGTCTGCAATATAACAAGGGTCACTTACCTGCTGTTGAAAGATCAAATTTAGTCTGGGAGATGATAGTGAATTGTCTGCACTACTAACAGAAGAACTCTTGAAAATTCTTTTGGCGAATGATGGAAGTGAACATATGTCCAAACGAGCATCTACTCGGGTTAGATCACCATATAGCTTCCGGAACTGCCCATGCTGAAAAGTGTAGCAAACTGAACCAAACAAATCCACATTCAAAGGACTTCTCTTGTTAATGTTTGTAGGAATGTCACCCTCTCCTTGTGATTCAGCACTTGTGGAGTTCTTCCTTCCTCCAAACCAGGCCGCACATGTGCCTCCTAGAATATGATTGAGAAGAAAGAAAAAAGGAACTTGAAAAGGAAACCTTGTCTAAAACAAAGCACAAGAAGTGAACAAATGAAAATTTGGGGCATCACAACTACTGGGAAGAAATTATGCATAGAACTTGTTTCCTCAGTATTATAACTCTCCCACAAGTAAGCAAGATGAAAGGAACAGCAGTTTCCTTCAAGGCTCTGCTCTGTTAGCATAATCTAAAATATAACATGAACTAAAGTAATAGAAGATGGTACAATAAAATGGTAGTATTACCAATTTTACCATATTGAGTGCAGAAGAAGGCAAGGTTACCATAGGGGGAAGTGAAGGGAAAAGACAAGAGAGACAGCCAAGTAAACCATACCACGCAATACAGAAAACTTACCTATAATTCCAGATATTGCTGCATGAGGTTCTTTAAGGCACACATCATATGATGGTCGGAAAAATGAGCCTTTGTTGGTCTTTACAAAGACATCCTCTTTTGTCTCCTTTTGCCTCCAAATATCCTTGCTCTTCTCATAAGAAAATGCAGCCTTTGCACAAAATCCTGGCATTAAAGCAGAAGGAGCCTCACCACCTATTGCATTGAAAGCCTGGGGATGGCCACTGTTTTTGTGTATACCAAAATGATATAGTAACCCTGAATCAGAAGGAAGAGAAGACACATCTAAGGATATTGATTCTGGAACGTCCCAATATTTTCCTTTATGGTCCATAAAAAGCTCAGGCCATGCAGCATCCAGTGTGATATCGTGCTCAGGAAGCTGTAAATACACACAAGTGGTACAATAACATAGTTTAAGTAACCCTCATTCACCATCATGGAACCAGACAGACTAACGTTATGAGAAAAAATAATTAAAGTAACACAGTTCTGTCTGGAATTATCTAAGTAAACAATATCAAACTTAAAGCTTCTGATCAGAAGCAGGCTTGAATATTCAATTAGCTAGACTTCTTACTTAAAATTTGAATAGGAAGAACTAGACTTTGGACTCAAAGTGCATATCACATCTAGATACTAAAACTTCTTAAATATTCAAGTACCAGTTCTATTACACTTAACTTCGACTAAGCAAAATTATTCTAACAAAGAACAATTCAACTAATACTTTATCATGCGTGACGTAGATATAGAACTATTAAAGTATGCCTCCAGCACAACAATCTTTATCATTTAACAGATATTCCTATGGAATTGTGGTCTGCCACTTGCAAAACTCTGAACCTTACTAGAGTTCACTTTTAATTCCCATCATTTCTCATAAATAAGTAAAGCATCCACCAGTTACAAAGATGAAAAACGGAAATATTAACGTATGCCAGATGTTTGCAAAGAAATATATGAAGAAGGTGAACGGAAATTGGAATGCATGCCTGGTGATAAAGCTTGAACTTGTTGCGATAACCTTTCCTCTCACCCTGCCGTTCTGTGCTCCACATTAAGGATGAAGAGGGAGACAATGAAAGCTGTGTGGCTAACGCAATTGAATACAGTGACTTGTCAAGAAAATGCTTAGCTGCATCTCGGAAAACAGAAAGCTCCAACTCATCAGCACTCCGAAGCTCCGCTTTAATAGCAGAGATGAGTTTCTTTGGCCTAAACTGACCAATTATTCCAAGCCACCTAAAGGAGCAAAAGACATTTTCTTTGAGACATACATCAAATAGCATCAGAGCACTAATGTGAACAACTTCCTAGCTTAAGAGAACAACTTTATGCAACTCAATCTATGGTAATCCTTCTATTTTCTGTCTTTTGCAATGAAAGATAAAACGAAAAACATTTTCAATCAACACTACACTTCACAGTTTCATATTATCCAACAACCACATACAAATCATCTCCTTTTCCGTTAAAAAAGAAAGAAAAGGGTACAAACCCGAGAGAGAGAGAGAGAGAGAGAGAAAGTGTAGAATGGTGCAATACCAGTTAGAAGTGGAGGGTCTGAGCAAGAGAGACTGAAGAGAGAAAGAACCCAACTCTTTCTGTGAAGGAGGAGACAGAGAAGGAATGATACCCAAAGGAAACCCGTTTCTCAAAAGTGAAAGCTGTTGAATTCTAAGGGCTCTGCTGGCTCGAGCTCCATCCACCGGAAACGACTCGCCTGGGACTGACTTTGCCGAGCCTTCCAAAGTCTGTGGGGTGGATATGTTCTGATCCCAAAATGCAGAGTCCATTGCCGACTTCAGGTTCGCCATCGAGACTAGTCTGTGGGTTTTTCGTTTTGGGTTTCCCTTATCTGTACCATTCCGAACAAAAGGGGCTTGGTCCCTTGTTTGGCCTTTGGTGGGAGGGGTTATGTGCTCAAGGTAAGAGGGTTTAAGCCTTCGTCTATTTTTAGGGTGAAGATGCTTCCAACTAAATGGTCCATGCCGTCATAGGTAACTTGCCACGTGGAAATTAAATTTATTTAAATTCATAAATATCAAAATTTCCACGTAAGCAGAAGGAATAAGACATTCCAAAAACATAAGTTTCAATTAATGGTGACGGTGAATGCTGTTTGTCTTCATTTACTTGTAAGCAAAGATGTGATTTATGGTGGCATTGAGCAAGCTATTTCTTTAATCCTCGGTAACCATTTATGGAAAGGCAAACAGAAAAAGCATGTAGATAAGAAACCTATTAAGATTTCAATGATTGTCCATAAAATGTATATTATGAATATCGAATTTTGTTAAATATAATTTTTTATGTGAATTCGATATTGATTACTTTTTTTTAAAAAAATATTATTGGTAATCTTAATGTATTTAACTTTCTATAGTTAAAAGTCATTGTCTCTATGTACCTACTTTTACATCACTATGTAATTTATTAGTCTAAAAGGTTTGTTCATTTTTACCACTTCAATCTTTCTACTCAACAGCTATAAATAACTCTCTCATGGCCGAGAGCAACAGCAAACAAGATTGATTACAAGCCAAACGATAAGAGAAAAAGGCAATGAAGCAAATCTTCTCTTCCTTTCCCTTCCTTGATCTCTTCCTCTTCTTCTTGATCTACACTTCCACCTTCCATGCCATAACTTCCACTGATCTCGTCCGGGAGACCTGCAAGAAATGTGCAGGGAGAGACCCGAACCTCAGCTACAATTTCTGCGTGACTTCCCTGCAAGCCGCTCCCAAAAGCCACTGTGCAGATGATCTTCGTGACCTTGGCATGGTATCCATAAGGCTCGTCCGCCATAACTTAACGAACACAAGGTCTTACATTAAGGAGCTCCTGAAGAACAAAAAGCTGGTCGACCCTTTCGTAAGATCATGCTTGCATGATTGCTTCAATCTCTATTCTGATGCTATCCCTTCGACCAAAGAGGCCGTCGAGGATTACAAGTCCCAGCACTACGACGATGCTAATATTGATGTGAGTGCAGTCATGGACGCCTCTACAACTTGTGAAGATGGGTTCAAGGAGAAAGAAGGTGTGGTTTCGCCATTGACGAAAAGAAATAACAATACGTTCCAGCTGTCTGCTATATCACTTTCGATCATAAACATGCTTCGGATGAGTTTGAATTAGTTTACCAGGGTCACTTAGTTCATCAATTTTAGCTTGAAAAATGGTTGACGGATCTTTTGTTTTTCTTATTCATATTCTTTGTTTTCGTTGCCTGGTTTTTTCATGGGGATGAAGGGGCGAGATATTCAGGGATGCTTCCATTGAAGCTAACTTTGAAGAGTAACTTGTAATTTATCCCTGTCTTGCATAATAATTACTATTACTTAAGTTTTTCTTGATGTAATCTTACCCTTACATCACATCAATCCAAAGAGTAAAGGAATTAACCTGTCTGTGTGCTATCATTCACATGGTGAAACCATAAGTTTCATATCCATTTCAGGATTGCTTCGAGGCCGAGGCAAAGATTGTGATATATTCTTGCTTTGGTTGTTCAATCACAAACAAAAATCATGAACAATGGCTAAAAGCCTGTAGAATTCCACCTTTAAGATAGCTTCTACGTAACAAAGCCCGCCAACTTATATCCTTTAATGGTTTTTACAACAACAAAGTCATGATCAGCCAATTTCTCTCTACTTTTTTACTGGCTTCCATGGCAACAGTTTCTATTGATTATTCTCCCCTTTCCATTACTTCAACAGCTAAAAACGTCCAGGAGGAAAACAAGAGGCCAGATCCATTATTCAGCTAGTGAATCTGATAATAAAATGCTTGAAAGAACTAAAAAAACAATGCAATACAAGGAGCAACAGCTAAGCTTAAAAGAACCTAAAAAGCAACGCATTACCCAAAGGCCAGAACACATCGACAATGTCAGGACAATGGCAAATATGAAAATAAGTATTTGAAAGGTGAAGAAATTCACCATGCAATACAAAAAGTTTATTGCAAGTTGAAATCTGCTGTTGTTTGGTGCTAGAAACAAGTTCAGGTAGTACCCCACCAAAACAGATTCAGATTGTCAGTCTTAATCTCATTATGAGGAGTAAATTTGCTACAAACACCTAAAATGTTGAACACCAAAACAGAGTAGAAGACATGGTTCTTCTTTTTGAATGAAATTCAACAAGAAACGCCCTTGCTTTGCACAGATTAACCAGCCATTGGATGGTTATATATGTACTCAATAGCGAGATTACATGAGTCAATCTTGTCAGCTTCCTTGTCTGGAATTTCCAGCTTGAATTCCTCTTCTAATGCCATTACAATCTCCACATTGTCCAAGCTATCCAAGCCCAAATCGTTTTGGAAATGGACATGAGGTGTCACCTGCAAGTGATTGAGAAAGATGCATTAGAACTCTCACAGTTAATAATTAAAAAGGAACCAAAGCAGTGAACAGAAATTCATAAAGGAATGAGGAAGAGTAGTACTTTAGAAATAAATATAGATCAGGAAATAGCATAACAAAGAGAAAAGTATGATGTTAGAATATACTACATAGGAGCATCAGTGAAGAACAATACCTTACAGGTTACTCATGATATTCAAAAGAAAAATGAAGCAGAAATGATAAAATAGTTGTGAGTCACTTGGGAACAAAGTTAGCTCTTCAAATATTGTCATGGCATTACAATGAGGAGATATCACATATTAAACAAAAGAGAAAGAATAGTTAAAAGATTTAAATCTATCTTAACAGATAGGAGAATTAAGAAACTGGGTTAATGTTACTACAAACATGTTTCACTCAGCTATTGCAGTAGAGCATTTGGACTCGACATATATTGGCAGGCTTGAGCATTTAAAGAAACCATTCCAGGATGGTCTATATACACAACAAAATTGAAACCAAGGAAATCATCTTTGGGGAAGGCAAAGCAAATGGTTCTTTCTCACAAATCAAGTATAACAAAGAAAGGCAAAAGATAACATAACAGAACAAACAATAAAGCATACATTGTGGCAGAAAATCCAACATAAAAGATTAGAAAACTAGCACGGGACTCAAGAGACTAAAAGGAGTAATAGGTTACCAATGACAAAGACCAAACTAAATCAAAGGAAGAGGACTAGAATTAAAACACAGCAAACTACTGACACAAACAACAAAAACCACAGCACTGTGGCACACAAAAGCAACTACACCTCCCTCTTACTTCTAGTTAAGAATTATGCCCTCAAAAATTCATGAGCTTTCAAGATTCAAGGTTATGTGTCTTAAAAACTGACACAAGCCAACACCTCGCATAGAAATTCTCACTTCCCACTAGAATAAGCAGAATTAAAATTGTAAGAATTGAGACCTCTATCAAATAGTTTATCTCAAGGCTATGCCAGCATAGAAGGGACAATAATCCATCAAAATTTTGTTTTTGAAATCATTCAATTGTTTCTTTTAAGATGCATGACAAAATCATTGAGCCCGAAACTTTAGTACAACTCATGCTGCAAATGTAAGCTTCAGTCAACTAATTACTAAAACTAAAGTTGCTTAAAACGAGACAATTAACCTGAACGGCTATTAAAAAAATGCAATTAAGTGATTATACAGAACAATCTTAGAATTTTAAATCTAATTTGCTAGAAAACCAGACAAAAACCATCAGATCAACCAATCAAAGTGATAATTAACTACTGTTCAGAAATATACAATAAAACAACATCTGATTAACAATAACCGCAACATCATTTCTTTCTCAGCTCCCAACTCAAGATATATAAGAATCGAGGATTTGGTTGAGACCCAAAGATGAAATTCTCGAAATGAAAGTGAGATTGAGAGAAAGACCTTGGAGGGATCGACTTTAGGGAAGCTTTTGACGACGTCGAGGACTCTATCGATTACTTCCTCTTTCGTTAAGTGATCGTCGTGAGATGAAAATAACCTGATTGAATTGCAGAGACTCCATTGCAGCTGAGGTTTTGGTCCGGTTGCAGCTAGGGTTCGAACGGGCACTCGAATGTGGCGAAGTACGGCCGCTCTGAGTGCCATTTCTGTTTCCTCTCGACTCGAACCTTGGGCTTCGAACTGTTGGTAGCTAAGCAGTGAATTAGCATAGCATATATCAATGGGCATGGCTGGTAGTTCAGATGAGTTCGAGGCTATTATAGTCTTTTCACTTATGGCTATTGATCTTTTCCCTCTGCAAACACATGAGATTGTATTATATAATTAAGCGGTAATATATGAATATTTATATAACGATAGTATATTAAATATAAATTCGAGTTAACTCGTGAACAATTAATTCAAAAAATTAACTCAAATACTAACGAGTTTAGTGAGTTACTATACAGTACTCAACTAAACTCGAAAATTGAAATTTTATTGATATAAAATTTAAAATAATTCAAATTTAATTTTTACCTTACCCAATCTTATAATCATTTTAGTATAATGCGATAAAACCTAATCCAAATCTAAAATATTATTTCAATTTATTTGAAATTCTACCTAATTTTGATTCATGTCAAAATTTAAATTTAATGCCTGAATCATATGAAAATGTTAAATTTAATCTTTCTACTATTATTCCTAGAAATTAAAGTTTTGTATTTTAAAAATTTATCAATTTTAATCCAATTGTTAATTTATTGCTTCAATTTACTTGAAATTGAATCTAATTTGGTTCATGAAATTCAAAAGTTTAACATGGAATAATACAAGAAAATTTTGTATTTATTATATTTTAAATTGAATGTCTAAAGTTTCACTCTAAAGTATTCCAAACTTATATTTTATTTCCTTTTTATACCTAAGGCTATTAATATTATTCTATGTTTTTGAAAATCGTTTTCCTTTCTATTTTTTATTTTTTAAAATTAAAAATCGATATTAAATATTGGTATTTTAAAATAAAAAATTAATATAAATAACTTTTAAGTTAAAATTTCCTTGTCTTGTAATATGTGGAAAAAAATTTAATATTAGAATTAAGAAAATACTAGACTAAAAAAATACATATATATTTAGAAAGTGCTAACAAAATTGGGATATAATCTCTAATGGCAAATTGGCAATAACCCAATAATAATCACATTTATAATTTTAACATTTTTCTTTTTATTAAATGGAAACTTAGTTGCAACAAAACCCGCAGGTTATTTGAAAAAGATTTGATCATAATCTCACACTAATTGATTGAATATCTTTCATTACGAATGAAAAATTTATACTACATTAATATGTATATCAATATTCTAAATTGATACGAGTAGATAAACTTAAAGTTTAGAGTTTTGATTTTCAAAATTGTATATAAACAAATAATATTAATTTTATCAAACTCGATATTTTTTGAAAAAAAAATCATTCTATTTTTGTTTCGCTCAAATAAATTTTTTATTAATAATTAATTAATTATTATTAATTAAAAACATACATATCATTTTATATCGTATAATGTTACATGAAATGTTAATATATGGTAGTGTATGACGATGCAACATTATTCCACAATCATATGATATTTTTATCTTTTACATTAATATTATTTAACATAAAAGTGAATAAGTAGTATTTTGATTAATGATCATTAATCAATCTTTAATTATAAATACTTAAAAAATTTATATGATTTTTTTAATAGTTTAATAATTTTTAAAATATTATATCAAAAAACTGTTGAAAATATTATGTTATATTAATCATATTTATTTTTATTTTATTTTTAAAAAGTTTTTAAAAATACAATCTATAGTGGTATTACTTGTATTAGTAAGATTAATTTTTTTTTTAAAATATTTTTTCATAAAGAAAAGAATGGTGATGCTAAAATAAAATATATTTCCCAACGTTTTGAAAAAATTGAAAAATTTTGTTCGTGGAAATTGATTCAAATCATTTTCGCGTCTCTCTTTCTTTCTCTCTCCCCAAATATAAATAAACTCTGAAAATTAATCACCTAAAAAAAAGAAAAAGAGAGAGATAGAGGGGTGGGCTAGGGATCTCGATCTCAATTTCGATCTCTCCGGCGACGCCGTCGACTTGTTTCCGGTGAGATCTCGATATCGGATCCGATCTCGACCCGATCCGTAGTAATCTCCTTACTTAGATCCGAATAACCATGGCTCCAGTTTCGGCTCTGGCCAAGTACAAGCTGGTTTTCTTGGGGGATCAGTCTGTCGGGAAGACCAGCATCATCACTCGCTTCATGTACGATAAATTCGATAACACCTATCAGGTAACCATTATAGTAATCAAATGCCCCTTGTATGTTAATTGACGATCCGCTCTTTATTTTTCTTTCAGGTAGCAGCTTGGATCTGATTCCTTTCTTTCTTTTGAATCTTTGTTTTTTCATTTTTATGTTTTTTGATTCAGTTTCCTATAGTTTGCCTATGGTTCTTTTAGATCTTTATTTCTTCGTTTCTAAGGTTTTATGCGCGTCTCTACTTTGTTAATCAGGCGACCATTGGTATTGACTTTCTATCAAAAACAATGTACCTCGAAGATCGAACAGTTCGATTGCAGCTCTGGTAAGGCATGAATTGTCATTGTTCGTTTTACGCTATTGTATTCTGGACTTTTATGGGCTTTCACAGCATAGCTTGCTAGTGAATACCCAATTCAGATTCTGGATTGTTTTCCGTGAGTGTTTAGAGTTCTCTTCCTAGCCTTGCTTTGTTATTTAGTTGGTGTGATGCCTTGGTAGAGAATGCATTTTGCTGTGCCCGTGTTCAGCATGGAATTATATTTGCTACAATGCTGAATCTTGGATTGTCTCGTGAAGGGTGCATAAGTGTTTCGCTATTGATTGGAAATTTTGGTTTCATTTGTTACTTGGATTGTGTCTTCCTGGGCTTTATAGCCCTGTCAGTATATGATATACTTATTAACACCATTACCAAGGATCACATATAAGGGACAATGATGAAACTCTTTTTCTCGTACTTTTATTGGTTGTATTTATGATAAGCGTGAGATATTTTTTTCAAAATATTTGACAAGAGTGGCTTTTTTGATTTTTATATGCTTAACCTTTATTTCAGGGATACTGCAGGGCAGGAAAGATTCAGGAGTCTTATTCCAAGTTACATTAGGGATTCCTCTGTGGCAGTCATTGTGTATGATGTTGCAAGTATGTTATTGTTTCACTTTGTCCCCCATCTTTATAATCTTCCTATCTCATATATTGCTTGTTCAGTTATTTTGTTTTCTGCTTGTTTGCACAGGCAATAGATTGCCAATTTGTGAAATGCATTTTTCGAATTGATGATCATACTTGGTTGATTGTGCTTTTGCTTAATAAAAGTGGATGGAGTTTACCAACTTTAATTTTGATGGTGTAGGTAGGCAGTCCTTCCTAAATACTTCGAAGTGGATTGAAGAGGTGCGTACTGAACGGGGTAGTGATGTTATCATTGTGCTTGTTGGGAACAAAACAGATCTTGTGGACAAAAGGTATTATTAATTTATTATCATGATTGGACTTTCTTGTGAAAAAGGTAGATTGCCTTCCTTTCTAGTTTACAATTGCCTTGGCATTAGTTAGTGCTCATTACCTTTAGTGTAAAATTGAAGAAGGGAACTTACTGGTATGACGTTTTTCCCAGAGGAGCAATATCATCAGGGGTATTCTTGTATTTAATGAATGTTGACTGTTTGATCTTCTGTTCATTCCTTGTGCATTTTGTGGTTGATTTGACAGGCAAGTCTCAATAGAGGAAGGGGAAGCCAAGGCTCGTGACCTTAATGTTATGTTTATTGAAACTAGTGCCAAGGCTGGCTTCAATATCAAGGTAAATCCTTGGTAATCTGCGATGAAAATTCCTAGAAATATTATGTTGACTGTGTGCTAGATGCTGATGGAAATTAATGTGCTTAGTGCTTAGTCTAGACCCATGTCAAATATTATTGGCATCCTTTTTGTTTTGGCATAAATATTAGGAGTGAGATCAAGCATCTAATCACTGAAGTTTGATCAGTTTTTTTTTTTCTCACTTCTGCATCAACTCCATTATATTTAATGGATGCAACATTTGTTAAACAATTGTTTAATATGCATCTTCAATCCTGCATGACAATTATGGCAGAATTAGTTGGTGTTACTTCTTTTCTAAGAATAGTCTCTTCCTCCACCAGCATAATCGAGCAATATATTGAGTTCTCTTTTAATCTCTTTACAGGCTCTATTTCGGAAGATTGCAGCTGCCTTACCTGGAATGGAAACACTTTCTTCAACGAAGCAAGAAGACATGGTTGATGTCAATCTGAAGTCTACCAACGCAAATGCATCTCAGTCGCAGCAACAGTCTGGAGGATGTGCCTGCTGATAACGCGCATCAATGATCAGAGCTCCGGCTTTTCGACCTTTCTTTTGTGCTTCTGTGATCCTACAAAGTGTTTGTAAAAAAAATCTGTCCTCCCCCTTTTTTTTGTAGCATTGGGCTTTTGGGTTGGGTCATCAAATGTTGGAAGGATATAACTGTTGAGAGAGGAGACTTGTTTATGGTAGTTAGGCTAGTCCTAACCTGTCCTATATATTTGTAAGGTTCTTGTGAACTCAGACAATTGTGCCAATTTTACTGTTTAGTCATATATTCAGTTTGGGTTTTTTGTTAAATAAATAGTGGATTGAAATGCTCTTTGACTTTGTAATGAATATCAGCTTCAGATTACCAATTTTCCTTGCCACACTCTGTTGGGTGATGCACAGAGACCCCTTTCCCTCTTTCTAATTCTTGATTTTGGCAAATAAAATGGCTTAGTCATCCTTCTGCAATTGCCAATGGATGATCTTGGGCATTTGGCACACTTTTCTTGAAGACAAGTTTTGCTGTAAATGAGGTTGTTGCATTCTGTGTGCCAGAACTTTGAAGAAAAGATTTTAAGAAAAAGAAATGCAAAAAAAAAACTATTTTTTATTTAATATTTAATAAAGCTTTTAAATTATAAACAATTATTTAACTAAACTTTTAATTTTTTATTACCTTCTAACGAGTTGTTGAACTTTTATTTTGAATAAGTAAAATTTTCAAAATAATGAAAATATAATTATCATTAATTTTAATGACAATTGTCATTATTTATCTATGAAACTTTTAATGTAGTATATTGATATGTTTTAATAATAATTCAATTGGCATCGAAATCATAAAAAAAAAAATCTGATTCTTTTAATTTTTTACCTTTAATTAATTTTTCCAAAAATTTCCTTTCTTTGTCCATATATATAAAAGAAAAAATTTCATACCAGTTGTTGATTGATAACTTTACAAACATGTCATGTGGATAAAATATAACAACTATCATGAAATCTTAAAAGATTGTAATATTTTTATTAGTTTTAAGCACTTATTTACCCCAAAAATAAAAATTAAAAAAAGTTGTCTAAATGTAATAAAATATTAAAAATTCGTTTTAATAACAGTGTATAATTAATTAAATGAATTTTAGATATTAATTTTTTTTAATATATTTCCCATCATATCTTGGGTTGAAAGTGGAGACTAATTTGCTCGATAGAGTGCGAACACATGGATAGAGCCGAACTTTCTCCAGCAAAAACTGCAGCCATGAAACTCGACTCTCTTTCCAATCTTCCGATAAACTCTTGGTGGCATTGCGGGGTTGTCGGTTTACGATAAGTATAACTCGTTACTTCCGCCAAGATAATCGATTATTAGCAAAAAGATCTTCCTTTCTTTTGGTTTATTTAACAGTCTCACTGCATCTTCTTGCTTTGATTCAACGGTCCAACCTGCGCAGTATGACAGGTAAGGCCCCCTTGCTTTCTCCTTTTCGGCTTCCTTACGCCAAATACGTTATTGGGTTCTCATCATAATCTAAATTGAATGGTTGGTATTTGCTTTCAGGACTTCTGAGTCTGATAAGATTCCTTTTAAGCAATACTTTCTTTTTCTGTCTCTGAAATTAGCAAAGAAGAAGACTGATAAATCTCGAATGACCCCAAGATGATCCTCTCGGGTTTTCTTGTTACTAGGCTTGTTCTGGTGCTTTGTAATGATTATGATTATTTACCAGTTGAGTTTTTGCTTAATACTATTTGGAATATGGCAACTAACGCAAAGCGGAAGTACTGTCTGTTTAGCTTATTTTCTTGCGAACATCCACTTGGTTTTAGCCAAAGACTTGGTTTTAGTTTTATGTTTGGTAATATAACTCTGAGAGGATTGCTAGATTTGTTTGTTTGTTTTTCTTTTCTTTCAAATATTCCTAATTTTTGCTCTATGCTTTCTTTAAGTAGAAGCATTTTCAATAAAATTGTACTGGTAATTTTGGAAGACACAGATACTGTTTAATCTCTCATTCCTGCCTCTATAGACCTAAATATTTGTGTTGGAAGTGTGATTAATGTGAAGTTTGTAGTGCTGGGACTTGGATGACTCTGTTTCATATACAACTTGTTAACTGGAATTAGTCCTCTTCTTGATATAAGAACATTGATCTGCTTCATTAATTTTTAAGATAGTTATGTTTTCGATTATAAATGATTAGTTGAAACTGTTTACACTTTCAACTACAGATAATCAAGAACCGATTCTGAACAAGGACGAAAATCTAATGGATCAGACACCATTTCTTAAACTCAAGCGCTGGCAGTGGTGGCTTTTGGTGGCAATCAACATTTTCTTCCTCATTGCTGGCCAAGCTGCTGCAGTTCTTCTGGGGAGATTTTATTATGATCAGGGTGGAAATAGTAAATGGATGGCCACTCTTGTGCAAACTGCTGGCTTCCCAATTCTTTTCTTCCCTTTCTTTCTTCTTCGCCCCTCTCGGGAATCTTCCGCTTCTACCACCTCACCTTCCATCAAAACTCTTGCTTTGCTCTACTTTGTTCTTGGAGTACTCGTAGCTGGTGACAATATGTTGTATTCTGTTGGGCTCTTGTACCTCTCAGCCTCTACATATTCCCTCATTTGTGCAACCCAATTAGCTTTTAATGCAGTTTTTTCTTTCTTCCTTAATTCTCAGAAGTTCACTGCTTTAATTCTCAACTCTGTGGTCATTCTTTCATTGTCTGCTGCTCTAATTGCAGTCAATGATGATTCAGAAGGACCATCAGGAGTTTCCAAGCGGAAGTTTCTCCTTGGCTTCCTCTGTACCCTTGGAGCTTCTGCTCTTTACTCTCTTTTGCTCTCCCTCATGCAACTTTCTTTTCAGAAGGTTTTGAAAAAAGAAACATTTTCTGTGGTTTTGGAAATGCAAATTTATACATCACTTGTTGCCTCTTGTGTTTCAACTGTGGGTCTCTTTGCAAGTGGGGAATGGAAGACTTTACACCACGAGATGGAGGACTTCAACAGCGGAAGAGTTTCTTATGTGCTGACTTTGGTTTGGACTGCTGTAACTTGGCAAGTATGTGCTGTTGGTGTTGTCGGCTTGATTTTTGTGGTGTCTTCTCTCTTCTCCAACGTAATCAGTACTCTATCTTTGGCTGTTACTCCTCTAGCTGCTCTGGTAGTCTTCCATGACAAGATGAATGGTGTGAAGGTAATTGCTATGCTTCTGGCTCTCTGTGGCTTTGCCTCTTATATTTACCAAAATTATCTAGATGATAAAAAGGCAAGGAGGTCACAGACTGATGTTCAGGAAAGCCATGATAATTCTTCACACTAACGATCTTGATCCCGTTACATTTGGTAACAATGCAAATAAGACTGTCATGGATAGCCTTTTATCAATTTTTATTTGTACTGCAATTGTACCATTCTATCTCTCTTTGCTTTTATCCTACAAACAGTTATTAACCTTGTAGATGTTCTTTACATTGAAATTATGGCTTAATTTGTTGGTTCAGCTGGTAGTTGTTGAATGAGTTGAATAAGTACCACATAAGCAATCTAGAACCTCTCATATGAGATTGGTTTGAGTGTTTAATGCTAAAGCTTTGGCATTGATCGAAACTGAGACATATTTAAGAACCGAATGCAGATTTTCCTCCTGTCTAGTTTTGAATATATTCTTCAGTGACATAGGAAACTTAAATGTACCAAACCATCTGAGTTACTTAAGACATGCAATAAAACCAGCAAAGTAACAGAGGTTGGTTTGATCTGCATAACTCTATAATCTTATAAATCTGAGAGTTTTGATTTCTATAATCTTATAAATCTGTTCTTGTTATGATTTCTTGTTTAAACATGGTATCATAGGACACCTATTGTTGCAAAGGTAGAAGAGGTGTGAATCTGAACTAATTCCTTGAGTAAGTAGAATTGTTGCAGGAACATGGAAGAGACCAAATTTCCAGCCGGAACCCAGAAGGAACGACAAAATCTACTGACTTTTCTCGAGCCATAGATGATTTTGACAGCCATGCAAATTTGACCCTCAACAGGTCTTCTCCCCCTTCATCAATGCATAGAATGCATTAAATGAAAGGGAGATGTCCCTTAGAAATCTCTAACACCCTGCCTCCAGCTTCTCTTTGAACAAGGAAAGGAGCTTCATTCACTCACAATTCAGCTTTTACATCTTTATCAGAAACGGTTTAACTGTTTGGTTTCAAAGGAAAAAACGACCAAGACAGAAACACGAGACAAGAAGATAGGGGAAACTGCCCCCAAAACAGGCGCTCGTCACACATTGTCAAGCGAACACTACATTAGACTTTAGACTACTTGCGGGGCAACTTCTTTTGATTGGCAGTAACATTCAATCTTTGTCTTTTCACAATGCAAACACCCTGCCAACTTTTTTTGGGTTTAGATTATCGATTAATCTAATCCCAACCCGAGATGATTTGAACCCAAAATCTCATTTTAATCATCGGAAAACATACTTTTCTCCCTCGTTGCATCACACTGTACTCATTTCCCTCTTTAAGAAATATATATTTGGTGCTTGAATCCACCTAATTAGTAGAAAAAAATGGGTTTTGTCCCCCCAATCAAATGCAGGGTACAGTCTGCGAAAGCTTTGTTTTCACTATCTTAATATAGTAGTGCATCATGTTAAGCATGCTGCGAACAAGACAGACCTAACCTCCAACAATGGCAAAAGCCCAATCAGGAAATGTCGTTTAAGTTCAGTAAAACGTTTGTTATTCAACCCATTTTTGTCCTGAATGTTTACTTCAAATCCAAATTTGCCAGGGAATGTCCTTGAGATTTTCATGTCCCACACTCTTAATAACCCCCTTCCCTACCAACCCTTCTATTCCAACCAAGGCTTGATGTTGATGGATATAGAATAAAATATCTTGCTCTATACACACATTATTTGAAAATTTGCTCATCTATTTCCTTGAAACTTCATATTTAAAGATTGGTATTAAACCTTTTTTTTAAGTCAAATACCGTACTAGTACCGATCAACATCATATCTACGACTTTAATGAAAAAAGTTTAACAATATTAATCATCGGATTGATATTTATAAATTTTGAAAGTATAAATCCTTGATATATAAGAATTATAATAAAAAAATACTATATTAATACCGGTCAATATCAAGTTAATAATTTTAACAGAAGAACTTTAACAAAGTTAATGATTGAATTGACAATAATAAATTTTAAAAAATATTCAATTTATTTGAATTATAATAAAAGAATTAAATCTAATTATTTGACAAAATACAAAAACTAGAATCATAAATGTGTTCAAAAATATTTGTGAAGAGGGTGTTGTGCAGGATTTGTTTTCTAGTTCTACTAAGCTAGCCCACACTTTTCGGCCAAATGATTAATTACAGGCCCTACTATATTAAATGGCTTAAACCCATGGTACTAGAGTTAGTTATGTATGTACAAACAGTTTTAAACTAAGAGGAGAGAGGGGGGAAAATCATTGCCTAGTGATTATGAACCAAAACAGTCAGGCTTAGGCTTGAGATAAACCTACTGGAACAGGCTGGACCAGGACACCTAGGATCATGAAAGAAAGCCACACCTCCCCCCTCAGATTAACAAATTCCAAGCTTTTCTTCTAGGGTTAGATCAAGAGAGAGAGACCTCTTGGAAGCATCTGAAGAAAAGGGCAGATTTTGTTCCCTAGTGCAACTCTTTTGCCAAGCTAGGCTTGCACCCATTTCTTTTCTTTTCTTGTTTGTTTTTTCCGTGTGGAGTTGGGACTCAGGACCTCTTGCTTCAATAAAATAGTTTTGCCTTGGATTTTTCGTTTCACTGTCTCAGGGATAAGCCCAACAACCCAATAATGGAGACCAAGAGACATGATATTTTTATTTTTCATTCCTATTGCCTAAACCACAAAAATAAATAATATTCTTTCGGATTCTTTTATGTACTATCCTTTGTCTGTATATAAATTTTATACATTATTCAGTGAAGGGAGTGCTATCATCTTATTCATAAAAAAAAAAAAAATTGAAAATTCTCAAAAAATAAATACACATAATTTTTATTGTTTCACATTAATAAATGAGGTTATGTGATTAAGTAATAGTATATAGGGTTATGTAAAGGATTGGTTCGGTGTTAAAAAGTCAAATGTTCCGAATATTGTACATCAAATACTCCAAAAACTGTTTTAATTGAATAAAAAAAAATCGAACTCACTTCGATTGAATCGATTTTTTTGATTCGGAGTGAGTTTGCTCGACCCTAATATTAGGTCGGATGAAATTTTATGTGAACCCAAAATAATAGTAAGAGAAAATGATAGATTTTATGGGGAGAAGACAAAAATTATAAGATAGAAAAAAAGAAGTCAGCTGTTTAATTTTTTTTCTGTTTGGCATTTAATTTGGATGGAAAATTTCAAGAGACCCCAAATTGAATATAGCACATGGAAAAGGTCAGACAATATTAATAACACCATCCATATTCCTCTCTCTTTTGTTTTAGGTTAGAAATTTCCATTAAAATTTTCAACCATAAAATTGAACAACCCTCTTTTCATCCCTTCTTCTTCTCCATCTAAAGTTTTGCTTCGAAAAATTCAAGGACCCAGTGTTTTGAATTTCAGTGCCAACAGTGTTTGGAGGGAGAGAAAATGAGGAAGGGCAAAAAAAAAAAACAAAGAAGAAAAAGAGCATCGCATGGCCTTTAAATCAAAACAAAAATGCTGGGAAAAGTAAACAAATCAGACGGTGGAAAGGCCAAAAAAGGACATGGGAACCGTACTAAATTGGTATTCTCTAGGGAATCACAACAATGCAGGGACCAGGCCAAAGAGAGAGAATTCGGCAAGGTTGGGAGCATCCCCCTTTTCCTAGATCACGTTTGACCCACTTTTTCTGACCGTTAAATAGGCTATGCTGGATTAATCTGATCGAACCCATAGGGTTCCACTGATTAACCTCTGGTCCCACTAACATGCCCCATAAATAAGACCTTGTTGGCCAAGTTAAAAGGTTCGAATCGAATCCATTTCGGTTTAAATCGAAGTAATCGATCCAATCGATGAACGATTTATTAGATTATTTTAATTAATTTTTAATGATTCATAATTTATAATCAAATCAATCAAAATATTAATCTTATTTAGAATATAAATAATAGAATCGATCAAATCGATGGATATAAATCTATTTTAGTTTTTATTTTGACATAATTTGATTAATTTTAATTTTTTTAAAAAAATTCAATTAATCGGTTAAATTTACGAATATGCTGTTGGGTTAGTGCAGCGACCAGAGGCATGGACGAAAGAGGTGATGGGTGATGCGCCACTGACACTCGCATTTGCCCCGTCATATGTCAAGCACTTTCTCACTCTTATTAATTCCTATGTGTGGCCGAAGCCTCAGCCCTCCCTCTTTTATTTCTTCCAGTCTCCGCCATTAAGATAGCCCCGTTGCCTACTCCATTTCTTTTCTTTTTCCTCTTCTCCTTCTTTTTTAAATGTTTCCTAGGCCCCACCATCAACTACCTTGCTTTTATGCCACCTCATTGATGTTTGTCCTCGTGGACCCACCACCTCCACTCGATCGGCCTCTCGACCACCGTTTGATTTGCTCGAATAAATCGTAATTAATCAAAATCGATAGATTAGTTTTTTCGATTTCAATATTAATCAGCTAAGAAAAACAATTTATTCAATTATTTTGATCTATTTTCGAAAGTCTAAAATTTACAATGAAATAAATCAAAAAATAATCTTCCTAAATATAACCCTAAATAGCTCTAATTTAAATCGAAATTATCGACTAAATCAATCAAAATAAATTGATTTTGACTAATTTTTATATAAAAATCCAATTAATTTAATTTTTAAAATTTTAATATCCAACCAATTAATTCAATTCCCAAGTCAATTCAAATCTCTCCACAAATATATATATATATATATATATATATATATAGAGAGAGACTTGCATAGTACTGTCAGCACCCTTTTTTTACTCCATAATGATGGAAAATTGAACAACTATATCCAAATACATTTATATTTTTCTTTCAATGTAATGATAGCTCCCTCCCATTTGACTCACCTAAATAAATAAAAAATATCTCTCAAGGATTAATTTATTTAATAATAAAAATAGGAATAAAAATAAAAAATATTGACAAAACTGAAAAAGATACTACTATAAACACCTGGCTTTAGAAATGTTAGGTTCGACATTGTACAGTAACAAAAAATTAATTCCGTTTTTTTTTTGGGTAATACTAGTAACAAATGTTTTGTATATGGGAAGCAACAGTTTTTTCCTCTCATTTTACACAAGAAAAACAATAATAGTAATTTACGAATCACAGAGAGTAAAACATGCAGAGAAAGAAATGGCAAAACCGTAATTTTGATAAATACTAGTAGTATCTTCACAATCACTGTTGTCAAATGTCAACGGTTACCGCGCACTCTAGCGGTTAGGCTTGACTCGGCCGAAGTCAGCGAGCTTCCTGGACCTGTTCGCGCAAAAGCCCGCGGCGGTGGCGAGGTGGGGCTTCATCGGGGGCCTACCTTCGCTGGTAAACGACATGTCAGGCGGCAATCCGCCCTTCTGGTTCCAGTGCCGGTTCGGACTCGCCCTCACGAGGGGGCTTAAGCAAAACGCTAATCCCGACACGTTCCTCGGCCCTGTCCTTGATCTCCTTGCTGCCGTCGGCGTCATCTTCCACCGTGGCGAGGCTTCCGGCGAGCTTCCAGACGGAGATCGGTCGTACTCGTCTCCCGAATCCGCTTCGATCGCTGGCGACATTCCCCGATCTATGATTTTACATGATCTCCGATCTACCGGGCGAAATTGGCCCAATTCATCGACATGTGATCTCCTCGAAGATTGCTGCTTTTTTCGACGATCAGCGAAGATTGCCGAGAACCAAGACGGGGATGAGGATGACGAGGACGGCTCATCGCACGAGTCCCGATGATAATGAACCCCGGGATCCGAGTTGAATTTCTCGGATCTCGACCTGAACAGATTCGAAAAAAGCGAGAACCTGTTCTTCTTTTTGAAAGATCTGGCGGCTACAAAATCGGTGGTGGTTGTGGTGCTATAGGTGGGTCCCACCTGAGGAGTGCTGTAGAACCGCTGGTGGTGGATCCACGTGGCGCTGTTGTCGTCAGATTTCCGTCGACTGACGTAAGGAGAAACGGACCGAGGGAAAATCAGCGGGGGCGGGTCAGGTTTCCGACGATCCTCAACAGCAGCAACTGCAGCTCGCGCTAATTGAGCCTGTTGGGCTTGAGCCTGTGCCTGAGCCTGGGCGGCTATGAGCCCGAGAAGACGCTCCCGTAGACAAGTGGCGCAGACGCCGACGCTGCTACTTAGGTCGGTAAGATGTTTCTTACACCTCATTTACTTCCCAAACTTCACCTTGTTTTACAATACACAAAACCAAATCAACCAAAAAAAAACCTCTGCTTTCCCTCTAATTCTCTGTGTTCGTAATGGTACGATTTCTATATATCTATCTATCAAACTATGTAGTTAAATACTATGAATGTCTTTGCACAAAGAGAATGTTTCTCGATGGGGACATTAACAGGTGTTGCTGTAAAACGAAGAGGAGATCTGATGAAGAAATCAAAGGAGAAGCTTTGTCTTCTTCTTCTTCTTCTAAGTGTTAGAAAACGAGAGGAGAGAGAGAGACAGAGTGCTTTATGTTGGGTCTGAGTTTTCATGTAAGAAAGCTAAATGGGTTTATCTCATTTGGTTTCCTTCATTCAATTTAGTAGGAAAATAAAGAGAGAGTCAATGACCCAGCGTTTAAAATGAGGCCACGCTGTGCAACAAAGCCAAGATCTGCAGGGACCATTTACTTTTGCTGCTTCGAATTATGGTAAGGTAACGGTCTGGTTACCATGTATATATTTTCGGACAGTCTGGCTTTTTCTCATTACATGTTTCTAAATAGTAAATTATTAAAAATGTTCAGATACAGTATTTATATATTATCATCTAATCACAGAATATTAAGAACAATTAGCTTAAAAGGTCTGATTTCAGGATTTGCAAGGGCGAATGTCACTAGAGAAACAGTTATTATAAATAATTTCAGATGATAATATTTAATTTATTGATAGTGTATAAATATTACGTTATGTACTGTATCAAATATAAATATTGATTACTTGAGTGGTTTTGTGTTAGTAAATAACTTGGTGAATTGAGGAAGCCTCTTGTCTGACTCGTTCTCCACTAGGTGGAACTTAATCATTAGTTTATCCATATTTTTGCTCATTACAAGATTTCTTGCCTTTTCAGCCTTATTTTTGAAGTCTTGTACCTCATGCTTTCCTTCTTCTTTTTTATCCACAGTTAAAAAAGAAGTGTTAACCACACCACAGTCGGAGGCGAGTGGAGACGGGGGGTTTGCGTCAGTTCGGAGGGACCAAAGTTGGGTGTCCTCTCATGTGGGCATGATCCAGCAACACAGGCAACTCACACGCCTGCTTGTCAGTTCCTAAACCCATGCACGCGCTGCTGAAAAGAGTGGGGTGAGCTTTACGTGCATAGTGTTTTTTTGTTCTTTTTTTTTTTTTACAACGTGGGGTAAAACAGGGACCAGGCTTTGGGAAGATTGGGCTTTTAACCTTGGGCTCTCGAGGTTTCCTTGTTTGTTTTCATGGTGTGTGTTTAGGCAACCGAATTGTGCTCGCTTGTTGACTAAATCCTGGTGCCTTCTTGGATGGTTCATCGTCCATTCAGGGTCAATATAAAAATCATTTAATTAAGAAATGGAATCCAGTAAGGGAGCCTAAGAGTCAATATCTTCGGTGGTGTTCATAATTGAAAACTCATGGTGCTTTCGTTCTTAGTGCTCTAGGTTAGAAGGGCTAATCATACGTTTTATACTCTTTTAAGTGCACTAAATTAATTTTTTAAAGAAGGTAAAGCAGAACTTGTTAAGTTTGTAAGTATTGATTGCTCCGATACCATGTTACGAAAAGATGATTTGGGTGTTGAAAACTTAGTTTCTCATTAAACAGCATAGTGAATATATAAACAGTGTATGAGTTATTTGCTGCTGATCTTGCTGCTGTTGATCTGTTGTTGGGATTTGAGAATTCGTTTCTGATCTTGTCAAGATGCAATTGCTTGACCTGAGATTTCTTGTGTTTTTTGCCTTGGGATCTGTTGCTGGCTTGTTATCCTTTACAGCATAGACGTTGAAACTCTGAATGCAGTCAGTCCCTAAATTGTTTGGTAATCCTTCATCTCTCCCTCTTGACGAGTAAATCCTCATTATCTGCTTGGTTTTTCTACTGTTCTAAGTAAGATAGTCAGGTTCTCAGATTCTCAGTGCTTGATGTCTGATCACTGTGTCGGGTGAAGCACTTTTGGTGGCATAATTTTGACTAAACAGGTAGCCAGGGATTCCCCTTTCCTGGTTGCAAATTAAGGCAGCGAGCAACAGCGAAGCTCCCATTCTGTATGCTAGACAATGGCAATTGGGCAGGGCACCCACCATTAATCCAACCTTTTCCAACTGTTCCACCACTGCATAAAATCAGGATTCAAGGAGTCACTGAATCTTTCCTTTTATGTCCCATTTTCAGATGTATCAAAAACAACTGTATTCTTGCAATCAAAGTCTAGAAATTGCTGTTCCGGGTTATGCCAAAGCAATGACATACAAGTAACAGAGATGTCTTGAGTCTCACTCGAGCTGTCTCGCAACAATGGCCTAAACTGTGCTTTCGAAAGACCCTTCCTGTGGAAAAAAGAAAGCCATTGCATATCTTTTCACAAGTACAAGGTAATTTTCCTTGGAAGATCTGCATGGTGACTTTCCAAATGAAGTAAGCATAGAAAAAGAAACGAAAACTGAATAGAGATATCCTGCGGTCACCTCCTGGTTTGCATAGAATATATCCCACAGTAACCTGTCCCTCTCAAAGAACCCAAAGCTCTGGATATGGTCAAAGGATGCTGAAGTAATAGTGTTGTAGCAATGTAGAATACTAAGACTCTATGGCCAGTCATCATGGCCGGTTCTCTTTATTTGCATGTGTATGTAACTTGGTTTGAGCATAAACCAGCAGAAACAAAAACATAAAGGAAATATATATAAAAAAATGAATTCAGTCTCAATTATTTCAGTCTAATTTAAACACAGCCCAAACCTTCTTACTCATTCAAAGCACGCAATTATGTCATCATAAACTTTCTTTAATGCACGTCAACTGCATGCTCCCAGAGAATTTCAAAATTGTTATAATTTTGTTCTTTACTACTGAATGGAACAAATCTTTAATTTAATCTAAAAATCGTCAGTAAAATAAAAATAAACTGAAATAATGATTTTTACGTATTTTTGCAATGGATGATTAATTATGTTAATTGGATACATTACTTGGCAAAAAGAGAAGAAAATAAAAAAGGAGGAAATGCTAATATAATACTTTAAACTCTACCTAATTATTAAATTTGTTAGATCTTTGATATGTGAAAAGAAAGCAGATTTCCGCGAAAGGTACGGTGTACCAGCATGATGGATGACGCCCAGCTTTCCAAATAATCAAGCGGTGGCAACTATAAACTGACCGTCTTATATGGACAAATTGACGGTTGTGATCGGAATAAAAATTCTCAATTTCACACAGTATTTTGATTAATAGTTTTTGATAATTTTAAATCACGTATTTAATTTTATATTATAAATAAAATATATTAATCTCTAAACTCTCATAAATCGTAATAACATTAACAAATAATCCAATATCAATAAATCAAACGTGCTCCAAATGGGATAGAGAATTTTTATTTGATTGATTGGGCGGACCGCTGGTTTTTGTTCCGGATACATTTGTTCAGGTCCCACCATTTTTATTTTCAGTGATTAAAATAGCATATAATATATACATATATATATATATATATATATAGACTTAGGTTATCTGATTGATTGATTGATTGATTGAGACCATCATATGATTCACCTTCTGGGTTAGGTACTTGTGTATTCATATTTTTGCATGAGATATGTAGCATAAAAAGACAGAAAAATAAACAATGGAAATACAACAGTGAGCTCCTCTTCTCTTAGTAGATTCAATGAATTCCATAACAAAAAATTATACTCCCACATACAGCTGAACTTGAAAGACTTGCTGTTGCAAGGCATGGGCTTTGCTCTTTTTGTTTGAGACCCATTGGAACTCATCGACCAGGACAAAAACAAAGCAAATGAAAAACCATTCTAACAGTCAATGGAGAAGGAACACTAATTATGAGAATTCATGAGGAGTGCCTGTTCATTATAACAACAATGTTTAACTTTTTTTTTTATCACATGAATTGTTTAAATCTTTTACACTGTTAATAAATTAAATGCTGTATGATCGAATGATTGATATATAAGCATGATAATGATGATAATGAGTTCTGAATGATTATGGGTTGCTACATTCCAATGATGAGATGATATCTGAATGATTGAATTATCATGAAAAGTTGCAAAGTTTATCCTTAATCAATCACAAGACTGTTTCTTAATTTGACATTGTCTCAGCTTCAAGCTGTATGTGTTAGGACTTAGGAGATCTTTGACATGATCTGATTTAACATAATGAATCCATCAAACTTCGGTTGGGTTTGATGGTTTGGTCATTGTTCGGTCCTGGAAGATACGGGCCTTACTTGCAGGAAAGGAAGGAAAAATAAAATAAAACAAAACGGATTTTTTTTTTGTTGAATGTAAAATATTTTACGGATTAATGAAAAAAATTCTACTAATCAATGGATAATGTATTGTGTTTGAGAAAAGAATTTTTTTTGATTAAAGAAAAGAAAGGGTTTATCCAGAAAAATAAGAAAAAGGAAGAAGACAAACCAATTACGAGAAAGAATAAATCAAATTAAAAAAATATAAGAAGTTTAGGCTTAGCTGGTCATAGATGATAATCAAAATTTATAAATAACAACCAATACCCAAAATAAATAACTAGTCTGTTTACAGTTTTGACCAATATTATAAATGTGTTTGACCTTTTAATTAGCCCCTAGTTGCAAGCTTTGATTCCGTTAATGACGCTGACGAATGATTGTTAATTGTTGTGTGTAAAAAATACTTTTGATTACTTATGTTGTCGATTTGACTTAGTGTGATGCTACAATCTCTTTTTTGTTGATTAATAAGAAAATTTCTAAATTATTGTATGACTACAGCGTATGATTCTGCTATCAAGTAATAGTATTTAACCTACAGTTGGATTTTATTAACGAAGTATAATTGTTGAATTTGATTACCAAAAATATAGATTACTGCTAGTTTCGGTTGCAAAAATTTTTAAAAATGCTGCAAAGGAAAAGCTTAATTAATTAACTTATAATCTGTCAAAAGTTACCCTCCCATTTAAAATTTTCAGACATGTTTGTGGTCTAGTTCTTGGAATTTGTCTGAATGAAACCAAACTAAGTGATATCCATTTATGCTTTTGGGCTATATATGTATATGTATCCAATCGACTAAGCTATTCCTGATGGCCCGTGAAGAACAAGCACTTCGATTTGGGGGAACAGAGACAGAATCTAACCAAGTTCTGTCCAATTTTATGTTCTGTTTGCATGGTTTACAGACCAATGCGTGTGATACATGGGTTAAAACGAGCTCTCCTGGGAAGAGAGAATCAACATTACCTGGTTGTAAGTTTACAGCTGAATATACCTTGTAAGGGTGTCAGGACCGGTTTGACGACAAGCAATCTAGAAAGAGTTATGGCAATGAGCAACGGTTGTGGAAACCCAGAGCTGACTCTAGTCAATCTAGATTGAGAGAAGCCTGTTGGGATTTTAAGATGGTCGAAAGAGTCAACATGGGAACTGGTTGTCTCACCAAGGCTTCATCTTTTGTCAAGAAACCACCTGCTGTCCATAGGAAAACCAATCAAAGTGACATTAAAAAAGAAAGGAGAGATTAAGTTGACGTTGGAGTTCACAGACAAGTACCTGATTGGCTGTCTCTGCCAATTACAAAAGAGAGTAGCAGTAAAATCCATATGTAGTTTGTTCAAACTACTGTCAGAAATCATCATCCCAGCTTAAACAGGAGATCAGAGAGTATTGATGCAAGCCTATGTTCTTCTTCATTTCATATTGCTCCTTCACTCGAGGGCAGTCCACTATTTGAAGGAAACAAAGATTGACTGGCAAGCTCTCTTCTGGTAAGGCTGAGAGATCATGGCATCTTACAATTCTCAGATATTTGAGTGACTTAAGATGTTGGAGAGCCCGTCCCAGAACCTTGAGCTTTGGCAAGTGCTTAATAGAAAGAGCAGTAAGAGACGAAGGAAGCATCCTTTCTGGAAAAAAAACTTGATCAGCATATCCACCAATAATCCCAAGACTTTTAAGAGCTTTGAGCGTGCCAAAACCCCATTCTGAGATAGGCTTGAGATTCCCACAACTATCGACCACAAGACGCTCAAGTTTAGTGGGCAGTGCACCTTCGGGGAAGGACTTAAGATTGGGGCATCTTCTTACAGTCAAGTCTTGAAGGGATGTAACATTATGAACAGGTAGAGACTTCAGTTCATAGCATTTGCTTACATGAATTTTTCTCAGGTTAGTGGTTGGGAACCCCCCATCTGGGAATGACACGAGATGAGGACAAGATACGACTGTCAATAAACAGAGTGATGTGAGATTGTGAATGTCCTCAGGGAACCTCTTCAAATTCCCACAACCAATAATTTTCAGTTCCCTAAGCTTTGTGGCGGTGCTTGCTGTGAAGTTTCTTAATCCAAGAGAACAGAGGGAATCACATGACTCAATAGACAAAGATTCAAGAGAATTGTTACACTCCATCATTTCCCCAGGTAAGTACTCCAGTTTTGAGCATGTCATGATGGAAAGAGTTTTTAGTCTGCCAGGTAACTTGCATCTAGGAAATGATGTGAGAGAATGAGAATTCCAAATGCTTAATCTTTCAAGAGACACACTCTGCATCATCCCAGAGGGCAGGGACTCTAGTTCACTGCTAATCCAGAGATCTTGCAGCTTGGATGGGAACTTCATTTCTGCTAAGGGTTGAAGACGCGGGCATGCCCAAATCTCCAACTTGTTGAGAGCTGTGAGTTTGTGCATTTGGTGTGGCAATACCTCCAGTTTTGGACAGTTGAAAATCAGCAATTTTTGTAAAGAAACGAGATGTTGCAAACAAGCATCACTCATGAATAACACCTCGAGCATATCACAAGCGTGTATTTCTAATTCTTTGAGTGATGTTAACTGTTTCAGCAAACATTCTGACAAATAGCTGAGCCTCTGAATTTTGCAAATATAGAGAGATGTAAGGGAATGGAGACCAAAGACATTTCTCAGCAGCACCTCATCACACTCTTCCAGTCTTAAGTTGCTAAGTAATGAAGACCTTGGAAGTGCAAACAACTGTAGACATCCACGCAGATGAAGCTGAACCAAGGAGGGAAGGAGAGTAGGCAATTTTCTCAACTCTGGGCAATCTTGTATAGAAAGCTTGTAGAGGTGAGGCATCTCTTCTTCTGTAGACAGCATATTTAATTCCATGCAACCAATTATTCTAAGTTCCTTCAAGGAAAAAAGGCAGGTGGGTAATTTTAGCAACGTGGGACAACATTCAATGGAAAGTTCAAGAAGGCTGGGAAAAAAGGGCATTCCCTTTTCCAATTTTCCTGTTGATGTAAGCCTGTCAAGGGCAACTAGCTCTTCACAACCTTCAATAATCAATTTCTCTAATGCAGCAAAACGATGAGAGATTCTCCTTAGCTTAGGACATGCCTGAATTTGAAGGTGACGAAGAGAACAAAAGACATCCTCTTCAACCCCCAGGGATGGCCACTCCACCAATCCCAGCAAGTTGCTTAAAACTAGAGTCTTCAGACAGTTATGCTGTGGAGCTGGAAGCCTTTTTCCATGGTAGTAACAGATGGTCAGCTCTTTCAGTTTTGTCATTGACAGTATTAAGCTTATCAGTTCCTCTGCAGACTCTTCATTTTGCAAAACATGGATTTCCTTACTCCATTCCAATTCCAAGGCACTGAGAAACAGCTTATTCTCGAAATTGGCTTCAATAACATCTCTAACATCAAGCACATTTTGCAAACCTGTGATGGAAACACTTCCTTGGAGGTGCACCAAGTTCCTCAACTCCCTTATTCCAGGTTCAGCATGCTTTCCCACAATAAAGCTAGATAACCTTTGAAGGCTTACCAATCTTCCAATTCCAAATGGCATCTTCCGCAAGCTGCTTTGACTCATATCAAGATGTTTTAGATTAATCAAGTTTCCAATGTCAAAGGGGAGTTCAATTAGAGAATGACAACCTACCAATAGCAGTGTTTGCAAGTTGTAAAGGGTACTGGTTGATTCAGGCAGCCTTCTCACTGAAGTATAAGATATGTCCAAATACCGCAGGTGTTTTAATTTTCCAATTGACTCAGGTAGATCAGTAATTTGATAACTGTTCAGAGATAACACCCGCAAATACTTGAGTTTTGGTAGCAGTTCAAGCAGGACCTTCCCAGGCATATGGCTAAACTTTCTTCCACCGCCCAATGCTAGGAAAGTCCTCAATGAAATCTCACCAGGATCAAAGACCGCAAATTTTGTCAACGGTTCATAGTAATCACGAATGTATGACAAGTGGCGAGCACTTTTGGGAATCTTATATTGGCTCCCACCTTCAAAGATATCCTCCAACCTAAAACATATTCCTTCAGAAACAGCTTTTGCTAGATCATGTACAAGACCATGCATCACATAAACCAATTTGTCAGGACTGCGTTGTTGAAAAAGTGATCTTGAAAGCAAGCCATGGAAGTACTTTCTAGCTAAGTCCTCCATCCTTATACCTTTCAACTGTGGCACAAAGCCTTCTGCTATCCACAGCAGTACGAGCTCCTCCTCCCTAAATTCATAGTCTTTGGGGAAAATTGAGCAATAAGCGAAGCATCTCTTAAGATTAATAGGGAGATGATGATAGCTCAATTTTAAAGCAGGAAGAATACCACTATCATCTGACAAACACCACATTCCGCTATCTAAAATTTCACACCATTCATCAACATTAAGCTTTGAGCGCAGAAGACCTCCTATGGTTGATGCAGCAAGGGGCAAGCCTTTGCACTTCTTCACAATTGCCCTACCAATGGCTTCCATTTTGGGATTTACACTAGTGCAGATGTCAACAGCATGTTGCTTAAACAACTCCCAACAATCTTCATCAGATAACAGCCCAAGAATGTGATCTGGGACAGTGCGCATGATTGATGAGACGCCTGCATTTTGGGTTGTTATTAAAATCTTAGAACCTTCTGCCCCAGCCCTTAAAGGTTTCCTTAAACTAACCCATTGATTGTAATCTTCATTCCATACATCATCAAGAACAAGTAAAAACCTTTTTCCTATCAATTTTTCCTGCAAATTTACTTGAAGGTTGTTCAAGTCATCAGATGTGGGAATTTCCTGGCTGAATGACCCAATTATTGTTTTGGTTATATGTTTCATATCAAATTGATCAGAGACATAAACCCAACTTTTCAGGTCGAAATAATCCTCCACTCTTTTATCATTGTATATAGCTTGAGCTAGAGTCGTCTTGCCAACACCAGCCATACCAATGATGGGTATTACAGAAAATTGGGTAACAACATCAGCTTCATCAGACAATAACAATTGAATGATCTTCTCTCTATCATTGTCTCTACCGTAAACACAAACTTCATTCAGCAAGGAAGTTGTCTCAGGCCTTTTCCTAACCCGGGACGAGCTCTCTTGAGCAACATCTCTCAAACCCAGAACATCTTTTTGTTTCACAAGGTATTCCAATGAATCAATAATCTTCATAATTTTGGATTCCGTCCCTTCCTTAAAGTTCCTAAGAGTATCAGAAATTACCTTACGATATTTGGCGAAGAAATCCCATACCTTCCCGTTGAATTCAGGCTCTGGTTTCAACCGCTGCTCCAAAGCTTTGATTGCAATCTCATCCAACACATCCTCTGCATCATATACTGCATTTTTTAGCAGCTTCAGCCAAGCTTCAACGATGGGTCTCTCGAACTGCTTTTCCTCAGCATCGTTAACGACTGTAGCGACAGCTGATAATGTCAACTTCAACTTTTCCAGTGAATCGTGGAGTTCTCCTCCTCGCACAAAGTTTAAGAACTCTAGAGACAGCAACCTCTCGAACAAATTCTCCAAAAAGGTCGAGAGAACAGTCTCTCCAACAATATCCATCACTATTTTCCAGGTGGATGAACTGAGGGAGGATGACTGATCGAACCTAATGAATAAAGGAACTGAAAGAACATGGGTTTTGCGGTGAAAGAAAAGGATAAGACAAACAAAACTAAACCCAAGGATATCGAAGTCAACGACTGATTATCGCCAAGAAATAATAATAAAAAGTAAAGTAATGTTCTGTTTACTTTGAGAATCATTGAAATGATCAGAGGAACATTGAAATGTGAATGCATTGCTAAGTGAAAGTCGTCAACGCATGGCCAATGAAGGAATGGAGAAGTCCATCCTTTGACTATGGTTACAGGGTTGAATTCTCGGATGTGGTGTAGCGAACGCCATTGAAAACCAATCACTGAAATCGCGGTTAAAATTACGTACCACGTGATAATCCAAGTGACCTTAGTGACGGTTTTATAAGGATATTTATTCGCATGAACCAATTTTTCTTGATTTGGTATGTTCGTTCATGAGATCAATACGCTTGGATCGCCAAGAAAGGGCGTAATTTCACAGTATAAATTACGCGCCAAAGTGCTAATTTATTAACATTCGTGGTGCAGGGAGAGATTCCGTTATTCCAAGAGCAAACGACGGACTGTCACCAAAGCTTTCTCATAAAAATGCGGATAACCCTACATTCCAAAATTTTGCTCTAGTTGCAAAACTCACAACAATCATGTTTGCCTTTGCAACAAATAGCCGTTTGATGTCCCTTCTTGGACTTGGCTTGGCTGCCTATGTTCTTTCTCCAAAGATCTTTCTCTTGGCATTTTCTCGTTTCTAGGCTGGCTACCAGGCAAGTGCTGCGAAGGGGTGGATTATCCGCCGCGACCTTGGCTGGACAGGGGATTACTTGGGGAAGAAAGTGAACCAAGATGAGTAACCTATTCGGAGGCAAATACAATATAGTCAACGGCTTGAACAATGAATTCAAAGTATGTTACAATGAGGAGAGGACCTTTGCCAACACTGATTGGCAAGTTACGAACCCCTTGTTGAAATCTCTTCCTATCTTCATGTTGCAGTTGAGCATGGTTATATTGTTCACTCGTACTTTCATCATCGTCCTCACACCTATTCGTCAACCTCGCTTTGTTTCTGAGATTCTTGTACGTATATGCAATTCAATTTCAACCTTGATGGCCAGCATTAGATTTTGTTTTTAAAAATGTAGTTGATTTGTTTGTTCATCTATGAATGTAGGCTGGCATTGTGTTAGGCCCAAGTGCGTTGGGTATAATAGGCTGGGTATCAAGTAACATCAACCCTTTTGAGGGGGCTTTGTTGCTGGAGACAATGGGGAACCTCGGCGTCACTTTTTACATGTTCCTAGTGGGTCTCGAGATGGACTTAACCCCAGTCCGAAAAATGGGGAAAACAGCCTGCAGCGTTGCCATAGCTGGGATTGTTTTACCAGCGTGTGGAGGAGCGGGATTGTATTACTTGGTGCTGCAGAAGGAGCAAGAAAACCAGCGTCGTCCTTTGGAGGGTGGTTTGTTCTGGGCCATTGCCCTTACCGTCACAAGCTTTCCGGACTTGGCTCGAATGCTTTCGAGCCTCAAGCTCATGTACACGGATCTCGGAAAAACGGCCTTGACTTCAGCCGTTCTGACTGACCTGTCTTCTTGGATTCTTCTCGTGGCAGTAGTCTCTGCAGTTAACGGGCGTGGCAAACTGTATACGGTAATCCCAACCATGTTGTTCCTCGTAGTATCTTGGTTCTTGATGCGTCCATTCATTTTGTGGGCAGTTAAACGAATTGCATTAAGAAATGAATCGTCAATGGAAAGCAGATACAACGAAAAACAAGTATGTTACATTCTATCAGGGGTGCTCCTCTGTGGGTTTTTCACAGAAATCTGTGGCGTACATTCCATGTTTGGAGCTTTCATGTTCGGGCTGATGATACCCAGTGGAGAGCTCGGGACCATGATCATGGACAAAATTGAAGAATACGTGGTGGGGATTCTGCTGCCGCCTGTCTTCCTAATTACAGGGCTGAGAACCAACTTTGCACACATGGCCGTCGAACATACTTCTCATCTGGTGATCATAGTCATACTCGTGGCATCCTCTGTCAAAGTTGTGAGCACCCTTCTCGTCTGCCTGTACTTAAAATGCCCAATTCGAGATAGTTTGGCCCTTGGAGTCCTTATGAACACCAAAGGCGTCCTTGCCATCATTGTTCTTAATGAAGGCCGAAACGTGAAGGGTTTTGACCAACAAACTTTTTCTTGGATGGTTCTTTCCATATTGATCATGACAGGTTTGGTTGGCCCGATAGTCAGTTTCACTCACAAGTCCACGAGGTACACGAAGAAATACTACCGTAGGAATTTAGAAAGGAGTAAAGTGGAGGCAGAGCTTCGAGTCTTGGCATGCGTTCATTCCAGCAAAAACGTTTCCGGCTTAATCAATCTCTTGCATATTTCAAATGCCACGAGAAAGTACCCGATTACCGTCTTTGCTGTCCATTTGGTTGAGCTGACAGGGCGAGCTTCTGCAATGCTAATTTTCCATGATAAGACTAGGACAACCGATGTGATTGGGAACGAAATTAATCCAATTAGTCGAGGAAAAGCTGAGGCTGAACAAATTGTCAGTGCCTTCGAATCTTTCCACAACAACAACCATGCAGTCTATGTTCGGCCATTGACAGCTGTGTCGTCCTACGCCAGCATGCATGAAGATGTTAGCAACTTCGCGCTAGACAAGGGAGTCACTGTGATTTTGCTCCCATTTCACAAGCAAGCAAATGCCCATGGGGGATGGACGGACGAAAACCTTCAGCATAAACAAGTGACTGACAATCTACTGGCAAATGCGCCCTGTTCCATTGGCATACTTGTGGATCGTGGCCTAACCCCGCCTTATCTTCCCCTAGGATCACAACATGATCGTAAGAGGAAATGTCGCATTGCTATGCTCTTTCTTCAAGGACCTGATTACCGTGAGGCATTGGCTTACGCGTGGAGAATGGCAGGCACTTCAGGCGTAATGCTAACTGTAGTGAGATTCATTCCTGCAAAAGACGTGGTGGAGTTTGCAGAGAGCGATGCAGGAGACGGTGGTGGTGATGATGACGATGACGACGATGAGATATTCGCCGCCATGTTTGAGAAAGAGAAGGAACTGCTGCTTGATGATGATTACATAAACGAGTTTAGGTTCAGAACAATGCATAATCAATCCATTTCTTACATCGAGAAACAAGTAAACAGCGGAGACCAGATTGTATCAATCATACGTTCAACTTACAATGATTTTGATTTGTACATAGTAGGTAGAGGACATGGCATGCAGTCTCCATTGACAGTAGGGCTATCAGACTGGAGCAATTGCCCTGAGTTAGGGCTCATCGGGGAAACATTAGGAGCAGCGGATTTCTTACCGTCGGGCTCAGTTCTGGTCATGCAACAATCCGCTCCTCTCCCTAGTGCACCGAAGAAGATCGTGAGCTCTGCTCGGAAGAAAGGGTTGTTTAAGACTAGCGGGCAACCATCGGCTGTACCATTTGTTAATCATAGAAAAGCAGATGATTATTATTGATCATATTATTCGAAATGATAACAATTAAGCTTTCATTTTGGTATTTAGCTATGTTGTAGGAGCCAGTACTAATTTTATAATTCCTTTTGTTCCAAAGAAAAAAAAAACAGTAAATGATGTCAAAAGATAACCTGTATGCTAGAAGAATAATTACATATAAAGATTAGGTCTCTCGATATTCAACATTTAACAAATAAAATTTTGATATATAATATGTATCTCAATTAAATTAAATGTAATTAAAAAATAAATTAATCAATAATACTATTTACAAGTTATAAGGATCACGTATTGATTTGAGTACATTTTTTATGAATGTAACGTAAATTCACTTTGCATTAAAAAAACAAAAAGAACAAAACATTTAGCTCTCGGTTTAATACATGGGAATTTTGTTTTGTTATACCTTAGTCCTAGTATAACATTTCAAAATCAAAATCTTTATGATTATTATTATTATTATTTATATTAATGTCTCAAAATAATTAAATAGCACCTAACAATTTAACTCGATGACAAGGCATCAAATCCAAGTTTAGCTAATTCTTATCAATATTCAGCTAGATTTTGTATTTTTTTAATCCTTTTTTTTGTATAATTTGTTGATTTTAACTCTTATTAAAATAAATTAATTTAAATTGACTAAAATTAGTATGACGTGTAATTTCTTTTAAACGGAAATAAATTTTAAAAAGTAAAAAAAAATTGAGTCATATTGTTGACCATCTAATTGAACGAGATTTACTAATTAATTTTTAAGGCATTGATAAGGTGAAAACAACTAACAAATTGATTGTTGTAAATTGCAATTATAGCAATGCCTATTAATGCACAGGTTTCCGTCCTATTTTATCCTCTTTATTATTTTGTTGAGTCGTAACAATAAAGAACAAATTAAATAGGATGCATTAATTCCCATTGTTATAGTGGCAACTTACAACCAACAATCTTAATTATCTAGCATTAAATAGCATCAATGTTTTCCTAAGTAATCGACTGCATGCCCTATTAATTTGCTCATTGGTGAAGGCAAGGCGCTGGCAAGAAGAAAGACCTGGGTGCTAAAAAATGGCTCATAAACCAGAGGTCTTCCTGAAAGGCAAGTACAAGATATTCTTTGGCTTGAACAATGAATTTCGAATATGTTATAATGATACCAGGCCCTTAACCGACAATTACTGGCAATCCGTGAACCCCGTGGTGAAATTAGTGCCCACGTTCATGCTGCAATTAACCATCATCATATTGTTTAGTCGTGTTCTGATGCTCTTCCTCAGACCTCTTCGTCAACCTCGCTTTGTTGCTGAGATTCTTGTATGTTCAATTTCAACCCTCGATGTCCTGAATGCCTTGTTCCTTTGTTATTAAAGAAGCTTATATGGTAATTGTTGGTTTTTTTGTGTATATATTGTATGTATGTAGGCTGGCATTGTGCTTGGTCCAAGCGCTCTGGGTGACATAAGCTGGGTATCAAATAATATCACTCCTTTCGAGACGGTTTTGTGTATGGAGACATTGGCGAACCTTGGCGTCACCTTCTATATGTTCCTAGTGGGTCTCGAGATGGACTTGACCCCAATTCGGAGGATCGGAAAAACAGCTTTGAGCATTGCCATTGCTGGTATCATTTTGCCGATGTCTGCAGGAGCGGGGTTGTATTACCTGGTGTGGGAAAAACAAAAACAACGAGCGCCTTTCATAGGTGCTTTCTTCTGGGCTATTGCCCTCAGCGTTACAAGCTTTCCGGACCTAGCTCGGATGCTTTCGGACCTCAAGCTCATGTACACGGATCTTGGTAAAACGGCCCTGACTGCAGCCGCTGTCTGTGATGTATCTTCCTGGTTTCTTCTTGTGGGAACAATATCTTTGATCAATGCACATGAGAAACTGCACGTGGCAATCCCAGTCATTTTGAGCATGACAGCCTTCTGGTTCATGATGCGTCCATTAATCGCTTGGTTGATGAAACAAGCTGCAGCAAGCAAAGAAACATCAACAGAAGGCAAATATAGTGATACGCACGTGTGTCTCATTCTATCAGGGGTGGTCTTTTGTGGATATATCACAGAATTATGTGGCGCACATTCCATTTTTGGAGCTTTCATGTTTGGGCTCATGATACCCAGTGGAGAGCTCGGGACTACGATCATGGACAAAATTGAGGAGTACGTTGTAGGGATCCTACTGCCGCCTACCTTCCTGGTTACGGGTTCGAGAACCAATCTTCTATATATGTTTGCTGACTTTCCTCTTGGAGTGGCTCTGCTAGTCATACTTCTCGCTTGCTCTGCCAAGATCGTGAGCACTCTTCTCGTCTGCCTGTACTTCAAGTGCCCAAAGCGAGATAGTTTGGCTCTTGGAGTCCTGATGAACGCCAAAGGTGTTCTTGTGCTCATTGTTCTTAATGAAGGTCGAAACATGAAGGTGCGTTTTAATTTACTTTTCATGGTTAATTGTTATTCCTTATATTGTTGCTAAAAGTATATCACATTTCAGGGTTTTGACCAGCAAACGTTTTCTTGGATTGTGTCTGCCCTGTTGATTATGACCATCATTATTTGCCCGATAGTCAGTTTCACTCACAAGTCCGCAAGACATTTGAAGCAATACTATCATAGGAACTTGGAGAAAAGTAAAGACGCACCACTTCGATTCCTTGTATGCGTTTATTCCACCAGGAACTTGTCCGGCTTGATTAATCTCTTGCAAATCTCAAATGCCACGAGAAGATCCCCAATCACAGTCTTTGCTGTCCATTTGGTTGAGCTCACGGGACGGGCCACAGCTATGCTAATTTTCCACGATAAGCAAAAGGAAGCAGATGTTGGGAAGAATGCCACTCGAGAAAAAGCTGAGGCGGAGCAGATTGTCAGTGCCTTTGAATCCTTCGAGAACAACAACCATGCAGCAACGGTTCAGCCACTAACAGCAGTGTCCCCTTACGACACCATGCATCAGGACGTGAGCAACTTTGCACTAGACAAGCATGCCAATATCATCTTGATCCCATTTCACAAGCAACCAAGTGCCGACGGTGGATGGACCGATGAAAACCTCCAGCATAAACAAGTGAACCAAAATTTGCTGGCGAGTGCACCTTGCACCATTGGCTTACTTGTGGACCGTGGCCTGACTTCATCCGTTTGCGCAGAATCACAAAATGGCTGGCGGGAATGTGGCATAGCCATGTTGTTCGTTGAGGGACCTGATGACCGGGAGGCATTAGCTTATGCCTGGAGAATGGTGGGCACGCCAGGCCTAAATCTAACCGTAGTGCGATTTCTTCCAGGAAAAGATGTCTATGACATGAGCGAGAACGCTCCAGAAGATGACGAGTCAGGGATTTTCACAGCCATGTTTGAGAGAGAAAAGGAGAAGCAGTTTGACGATGATTATGTGAATGAGTTCAGGTTTAGGACAATGCATGATAAATCCGTAGCTTACATTGAGAAACAAGTCAACAGTGGAGACCAGATTGTATCGATCGTAACTTCAGATTACAACAACTTCGATTTGTACATAGTAGGAAGAGGACATGGCACAATATCTCCATTAACATCAGGGTTATCAAACTGGAGTGATTTCCCAGAGTTGGGACCGCTCGGGGAGACATTAGTATCAACAGATTTCGAATCCCCAACCTCAGTTTTGGTTGTGCAGCAATCTGCTCCTCCCCCAAGTGGATCAAAGAGGTTCAGGAGCTCTGCTCCTAGTACGGGGATATTTGGAAATAGCATGCAGTCTGCTGTAGATACTTTTGTCAACCACAGAAGATCAGATGATGACTATTGATCAAATGATCTGAAATGATAACAGTCAAATGTCTTTTTTCCTCTCGCATTAATTCTAAGGATGAAATGAAACAATCCATTCATTCTTTTTCATTTAGAAACTTGCTTTGTTTTACTTGGGTGTCATCCCAATCAGGAAAATGAATTTGATTGGGTTTTTTCTTATATATATATATATATATATATATATCATATAATAGTAAAATTATCAAGATCTTCCAATACCCCAAAAAGAATAAAGAAAGAAAGAAAGCAAGATCTTCCGGATTTTGAGATAATGATTGAAGCCCAAGTGGGCACAAGGCCAAGGCCTAAGGGTCAAAGGATGGGGACCGCATCAACAGATCATAATTGAACGTGGTTTAACCCACTCTCACCCAACCGCCCATACAAGAAGTAAGCAATGTTATACTGTAGGCCCAACGGGCTTCCAAATATTAAATAAAAAAATATTTTTCAATATTTGTTTGATCAATTAACCGAATTAACAGAGTTTAAAATGAATGAAAAAGAAAATTTGGATTATTTATCGTGTAATTTTTATTTGTTAGATTATTTATTATGTAATTAACATATAAAAAATAAAAAAAAAACTTAAAAAATAAGCTTGATTGCATTTAAGCTCATTTCTTAAAAGAATTTCGATTAAATAAATTAAAATTGAATTAAGTTGATTAATCATAAAATTTAGTTAATATAAAAAAGTCGGTCAATTTGATTAAAATATATTAAAAAAATCAATTAAGTCAATTAATAATATTATTTAATCCATTTAATTGATTTCACATCGCAATTTCTTTAATAAAAATTTATTCTATAAAGTAATCGAAGATCGGAAATCAAGTATTAATCGATTAATCGAATTAGATGGATTAATAAGAGGGAATGATTTTATTACGCAAAGAAAATAGGGGAAGTGGTATCATTGTCGAGATCTCAAAGACAAGTACAAAAACTTATTGGACGATGTCCATAGCATGTTTGCGTAAAGATAATTATCTCCTGAGGTTCTGTATCTCTGCGACCGATAATATTTACGTTCACTTGCAACTGACGAGGTGTCAACTGGAGAGTTACATCTTTTAAAACTAACCTTATGAACGAGCGGTGAAGGTGGGGAGTTGTAGGATGTATGAATGTTTCTGGGTACAGAGCATAACAACAAGTGATGCTGAGGTGGCATGATTGAGTAGAGGGGATAGAGACAAGTGTAGTCCCACTGCTCTTTGCTTCTCTCCCTTTCTTTCCTTCAATTTCTTCAATGGCCCTTCTTTGTTTGTATTCTAGAAGATTTTTCTGGTCAGATATGAGCAGATGGTCGGTTCGATTAATTTAGGTAAAAAAAATTTATAAATAAATTAATTTATGAGATCGAAATCAAGTATTAATTGATTAATTTGATCCATGATTGAAATAATAAAATTTTTATATTATAATCTTAATGTATTTAATTCAATTTTTTAATTTTATTTTTTATGTTAATTATAAAATAAACAAAATTTAATTATGAAATTTTAACAACAACGTAAACTTTACTAACATTAAAATATTTGAACAAACATAATTAAAAACATTTAAAATAAATAAATACTCAAATATAAAGTATACCTACCTATATGTTTATAATCCTTGATTCGCTAATTCGCTTAATCGAAAACTATTTTCAAAATCGAAACAAACTGTGTTACTCAATTGAACTCACACTCATTTTTAAATTAATTAAATCATATTAATCGAATTTATTCAATTTTAACCAAAATTACTCACTTTAGTTTTAATAAAGTAATTTTAAATGCTTTTATCTTTATTTTGTTGATCATTGTAATAAAGTAATAATAATTTCATAAATTTTATATAAAAACACTGAAATTCTTATTAATTAAAAGGTCGACCTTGAATGTGGAACAGAGTTTCTTGGCTTTATATAGGAAGAAGAAGCTTTGAAGCAACCGGCTCTCTTTTCTACAGATTGTGGTGGAATCTCCCACGTTAGTGGAAAAGACTGGCAACCATTTTGGACCCGGAAAAATAAAATAATAGCAGACGCCAATGACACTTGTCTTTCAGAATTAAAGGTAAAAACAGCCCCTAATCTCCCCCACCCTTCTGTTTCTAAGGATAAACTAATCCTCTACTGTTGCTGATTCATCAATTCTGCTTTCCTAGTTTATGCTGTCAAAGTAAATAAGCTTTACTTTTTTCATGAATTTTAAGTTCGTTTTCTTTGAAAAGAACAACTGCCCAGAATAGTTTGAGTTTGGGTCTGTTTTATGGTTGTTTCTTTCATGGATTTAAGCTCCTAGTGAAGAAAAAGTAGACGATTTGGATTATTATTGTTATGATTTTCTTGTTACTGAGAGAATTTATGTTTAATCCTTTGATTGAAAGGAAAGAGTAAGATCACTCAACTTGGTACCAGGCTCTAAGTTTGTTTCTTTGCCTGTTCTTGATGTTCTTTCTCTCTCTGTTCTCTATTTTTCTGTGATCGACCATAGGGTAAAGTTAAGTTTTTTTTTGCTAAGATATTTGGTTTTGCTGATAAACGCAGAATAATTTCTAAGCATGGAAGTCATCTCATACAGTTCTCCTCCATGCTGTAATTTAAAGAGTAGATTATTAGTAAAGAAAAGCTCAACAAGACAGCAAGTAAAGATCCCTTTGCGCAGAAAACATAGAATTTTGTGTACTAGGATTAATAGCAGAAGTGGGTCACTGGGATTATCTAATAAAGATCACCCTTTGTTGAAGAATGTCTATCATGGGAAAGGTTCAAGGCCGTTCAATGCTCTTGAAGGGTCTAAAAATGTTGAGTCAAAGGTCTTCAGTGGGAATTATAATGGTTATGTGATTGGTAGAGAAGACGAGGTGGGAAGTATGTCAGAAACTGGGGACTCAGTAACCAAAGTTTTGATTCCGGGGTTGCCTGATGAGTCCAATGGCGAACGTGGAGCTTCTATAAGCAGTTGTTTCTGGGAGTGGAAGCCTAAACTTAATGTGCATTACGAGAAATCAGGTTGTGAAAATGTGAATTCTCCGCCACTGCTCTTTCTTCCCGGTTTTGGTGTTGGTTCTTTTCATTACGAGAAGCAACTGAAGGATTTGGGTCATGATTATAGGGTATGGGCAATTGACTTTCTTGGGCAAGGCATGTCATTGCCAATTGAAGATCCCACTTCCCAATCTAAGGAGGAGTCTATCTCAGAAACGAAGGATCTTGTGTGGGGATTTGGGGATGAAACTGAACCATGGGCAAGTGATCTTGCTTACTCTATGGATTTATGGCGGGATCAAGTTCGCTACTTTGTAGAAGAGGTACTAATAGATTTGCATTTTAACTCTAATCCACTCTTCTGCAATGCCTCTAACTGCATGTTTAGACATTGAGGTTATTTATCTACACTGAATACATTTTTATTTAGATGATAACAATGGTGCATGTGTGACTTCATGCTACATTTGCTTACTGCCATCCTTCTATTTGGCATTGTCTCATAAGGTTACATGAGTTTAAGGGGAAGTCCTCCTTTTATTCAATTAAAAAGAAAAAATCTAGTTTATTTTTTGCATCTTTATGTTGTTTATTTCAAGCGTTTGCTAATCTTGTTTGTTTATCTGAACCTGTATGCATGGGTATTCAAGTTTTTCTACTTTCTCACTATTAAGAGAACTGATTTCTGGTTGAAAAAGATTACTGGTTAAGGAGCACATTAATTGCAGTAAGAGATTCATAACCAAGTATCTATCTTGTAGATTGTGAGCAATGGCACTGGACCACCTCACTATAGCCATGAACAAAAGATAGATTACGGAGAAAATCTCCTATTCTAGCTAAAATGGCTTTAGGAATCACATAACTCTTTGGTTTCAGATAAATGAATGCATTAATATAATGTAAAGACAGCAATATTGACCTTAGCTTTTTCTCTCACAGGTTATTGGTGAACCAGTGTATATTGTTGGTAACTCACTAGGAGGATTTGTTGCTCTATACTTTGCAGCATGCAATCCTCAATTAGTGAAGGGTGTTGCACTACTTAATGCAACTCCTTTTTGGGGATTTCTACCTAATCCGATAAGATCTCCAAGACTAGCAAGGATATTTTCATGGTCTGGAACATTTCCTCTACCAGAAAGTGTTAGAAAGCTGACAGAATTTGTGTAAGTGTGGCCTTTTTTCTTTGGTATTAGATGATATGGTGTTCTTCTTGTTCTTAGACATGTGCATTTTAAACCCACAGATGTCACATTAATAATTGGCTTATTGAGGTTTTTACTTGGATAAGAGATCAAGTCATTTTGCAATTGTTTTCTTCACTTTGAGAATTATATTGTTTGAGAGTTTTATAAAAGTTAGGTATAATATCTTTATTTAGTAATCCAGAAGCAAACTGCTGCACTTTCTTTTTTTTCTTATCTCTTATTGCTCTTACTGAACTTCTTCTTGCACCTCTTGATTTCAGTTGGCAAAAAATAAGTGATCCTGAAAGTATTGCGGATATACTTAGACAGGTTTATGCAGATCATTCTACAAACGTTGACAAAGTCTTTTCTCGTATTCTTGAGACAACGCAACATCCTGCTGCTGCTGCATCATTTGCTTCAATTATGTTTGCTCCTCAAGGAGAGCTTTCCTTGAGGGAGGCTTTATCGAGGTATGTAGTATGAAAAGATTTTTAACTTGTATGGAAAAATCATGTTCATGCTGTGTAGACAAGCTACCTGTCTGCTTCAAGTTATGGACTTTCAGTTGTGATTTTATAGGTGCCATATGAACAATGTGCCTATCTGTCTGATGTACGGAAAAGAAGACCCCTGGGTGAAGCCTGTCTGGGGTCTTCAGGTGAAAAAGCAAGTTCCTGATGCTCCATACTATGAGATCAGCCCAGCTGGCCACTGCCCTCATGATGAAGTTCCCGAGGTACGTTATCGCTGATTGGCCCGCTTTGCACATCTAATCTCCCTATGACCATTCATTTTGTATGTATAATATCAATTTTGAATGTGTGTTTTGCTAGGATCTTGTGGTATTCTTTTGGCCTTAGGTTAAAAAGGGGTTACTATGTTACTTCCCATGGTAGTTTTTCTTTTCTTCGACTAGA